GGATTGTCCTTCAACCCCAAGACGTCTAACTTGCACAATTCTTCGTAATCAATTGCGGAGGTCTGCGTTAACAACATGTTGCTGAGATCCAACTCTGTTCCAGGTGACAAGATCGTCCAGCCGAACTTCGTGTATTCTGCTACTGGTTCTCCCGAGCGCCCAACTCTTGGTCTTGCCCCTGTTTTGATCTTAGCGTACTCGTTTGTTCCAAGGATCAGATGAACAGGCAACATCGCTTTCTCGTCGTTATCATTTGTGGTTACGCCCTTCAAGTGAGAAAACTGAGCTACGATTTCTGCGCATTTTGGGTTTTCCAATGTCAACAACTCATTGCGGTCGACTTTGTTTACTTCGGCTTCTAAGGTGAATTTACCATCAACGCTTCGAATTTGTAGGCCATAGATGTCTATCGCTTTGTTTGAAGTACCAAACATCATTTCAATGCGCTTGAATTGTTGACGGATAGGGCGCAAATGTAAACAGTTCAGAAGCGTTGATGAAGCGTAGGAACTTCCGGCTCCTGTATCCAACAATGCTCGGCATTTAACACCGTTCACGTCAACTGTTACCATAGGATACACCACTCCTTTCCTTTCTGCGCTCGTTGTGGTCATCAGCTGGTCTCGCGATGTATGTTTGTCACAGATCGATGTATGATGTCTTCGACTGCAGATCTGGCAGCCAGAACGGCATTTGCATTCAGAAGCACGGTGTCGACTTCCTGTGCAGTTAAAGCAAAGCTGTTTCAGTCCTAATTGCTTCCTGCGGTCTCCAACTGTCACAAACTTGTCGCAATTCACAGCTCTGTGGTCAGTTGCGTCACAATAGACGCACCCTCTTTGTGTTGGCGTAGTTTCGTTTGCGTGAAATGTTTTCTCGCGATCGCGGAATTTAGCACCTTGCTTCCCCGCATTATCCGCGCCGCTCCCAATGGGGTTGATTTCCTTCCAACTTTTCAAAGCTTTTATCAACTGTGGGAAGTCCCAGTCCTGCCAGTCCATTTGTCCTCTCACTAGATCTGCTTTTACACCCTTTAGTTTGTCGAGCACACTCCTTACATTTCCAGTGACGTCTTTCAATTTGCCCAGTGTCTCCAAAGATTGCACATTGTACACGAGCTTCTTGTAAAATTCGTGGACAGGCGCAGGTTGTGTTCCTGTAATGACAGGCAAATTCGCGATGTTCTGGACGTACGCATTCACGATCTCGCTCGTTTTCCCATATTCGCCGATGAGGATATTCTTTGCCCTTTCGTAGCCCTCTGTTGTGAAAGGCAGTCCGTCTATCTCCGCTCGAACCTTTGGATCTACCAGCTCTTTTAGGTATGCAAACTTGGTCACAGATGCAAGGTTTGCTTTATCAATTTCAGCTTGAAATTTGTTCCAGAACGGCAGCCATGCTTCATACGTCCCATTAAACTTTGTGATCTGTAGTTTCGGTAGCTTTGTTGTCCTTTGTTCAATCTGATTGGCCTTCTCAACAGGTTGCTGTTTTGCCTTGGTCTCTTCCAGTTGGCGTTCGAATTCTAGCTTCATCTCCATTTGCTCTCTTTCGAATTTAAGCTCCTCTTCACGAGCACGGGCTTTCCTTTCTTCTTCGTCCTTGTGCTTTCGATGTTCGATCTCTCCATTCGTCTCCACGAGCCATTTTCCTAGTCGCGAAACTTCTTCGTCAGCTTCGGCGATCGGTTCTTCAATGCTACTGCTCCAACTTCCAACGTCTTCTGCACTTTTCCCGGCCTTGAACATGGTCTGTTCAACCTTTAGTTTAAGCGCGTCTACTTCTTTTACTAATGCTTGTAGGTTGTCGCGATGTCGCGCGACCGCTCCTAGGTTTCCCTTTTCCACAATGCCACGTGTTTTTCCATTAGTGTACAGCAACATCTGCAATTTAGCCTCTGCTTCTTTGGTTAGTTCCTCCATGCTTCGCGCGTCCCGTCGGAGGTGCCACTGTGTCGGAAATGAGACTAAAGAATCTGCTATGTTCCGAAACTTCACGTTTTATTTTATAAAATCAACTTAATCTCCCGCTCTCTCTCACCGTTCTCTGTCCTTCGCTCTGGTCTCTCTCATTTTAAATATATAATATGATCCTATTGTTCAATCATCTGTCACTTATCGCAAAAAATCAACCGGAAATCAATTAACGCTGAATAATCTCTCACAGCGTACTCGTGAGAAACCAGTTCCAACCTGTGGCCCTAGCAGGGGACCTGAAGCAAGCTTTTCTACAAGTGAGAATCCGAGAGGAAGACAGAGACGTGATGCGATTTCACTGGCTCAAGGACCTAGACACCAAACACGTGGAAACTTTACGCTTCACACGAGCACTGTTCGGCTTGTCCACGTCACCATTCTTCCTCGGGGGAGTGATTGGTCAGCACCTAAAAAATCTTCAGAACGTTTACCCTAGGAAAGTTGAAGAGATCCGACGAAGTCTCTACGTGGACGACTTTATCAGCGGTGATAAAACCGTGGCTGGCGCACAACACCTGAAACAAGCATCACAGTCCATTTTCAGAGCTGGGAAATTTGAATTGCACAAATGGCACTCTAATGTCCCGGCCCTGGAACAGCCTTCACCCCACGAAGAAACAATAAAAGAACTACCAACCACCCATCAAAGTGAGAACCAGAGCTATGCCAAGGACCAGTTAGGAGTCAAGCAAGGAGAAACGAAGCTGCTTGGTGTACCATGGGATAAACGAGAGGATACAATACAAACCAGTTTCCCTGATCCGATTTCGAAAGCAACTAAGAGAGAAGTCCTCGAAAAGATCGCTAAGATCTACGATCCCCTCGGTCTAGCATCACCAATCACTTTGGAAGGGAAATTTCTTTACAGAGAAATGTGTGAAGCCCGAATCCCATGGGACCAAGAGCTACCACAGGGACTCGAGATCCGTTGGCAAACCTGGGAGAACAATCTAACAGACAAGGTAGAAGTACCAAGAAGCATTGCCCAGCACCAAGAAGAGATCACTAGCATCAACCTGCATGCCTTTGGCGACGCGAGCAGCCAGGGCGTGTCAGCTGCTGTTTACGCCGTCACACATCAAGCGATGGGGCTATCACAAGGGCTCGTAACAGCAAAGTCTAGACTGGCGAAGAAAGGACTCACCATACCAAGACTCGAACTAGTGTCAGGGCACATGGCAGCCAATCTTGTAGATAACGTTAAAGAAGCACTGCAAAGTTTCCCAGTTGAAGGTGTTTATTGTTGGCTCGATAGCAGCGTAGCTCTTCACTGGATTAAGGGGGGCGGAGATTACAAGCTGTTTGTTAGCAATCGAGTGAGGAAAATCCAAGAGAAGAAGTACATCCAGTGGAGGCACGTGGGTACCAAGGAAAACCCTGCCGACCTGGGTAGCCGAGGCGGGCAAATTAGTAACTGCTCAGATCTGTAGTGGCATGGGCCAACGTGGTTACCTTTGCCAGAGAGTTGGCCGGCAGATATTGTCACCACTCCTACCAAGGAATCACAAGCCAAAGCCAAGATCATAAGGGGAGTTCTGGGCGTAACTGTGAAGACGGATGACGATCTAGACCTGGTGATGCACAAGTACGACTTATGGAAGGCCATCCGAATCTGCTCGTGGGTTGTGCGATTTACAAGGAACTGCAGAGCTAAACGCCAGCAAAGGATCACCGGACCAATCACTACCGAAGAGACAGCCAACCAGTTGCAGTTCTGGGTAAGAAGATCACAAGTCAAGAGTCAAGGCACCATCAAGTTTGATGAAGACCAAATGAAACTGAACCTCCAGAAGAACCTAGATGGGATATTCGAGTGCCAAGGACGTATTCAAGGCCACTACCCAATTTACCTACCTGACGATGGCGTGTTTACTGGAAAACTAGTGACACACTTCCACAACCAGACCCTACATGGGGGAGTTGGTTTGACCATGGCCAAAGTACGCGAGACGTATTGGGTACCTAGATTGCGCCAGCTTGTTAAACGCCTTATCAAGCGGTGCTATGGATGCAAAATATTTCATGTATCAGCATTTGCCAACCCTCCTCCAGGCAACCTGCCTACAGATAGAACAGAGGGAACCTCGCCCTTTCAGGTTGTTGGAATAGACTACGCCGGACCGATCAAGTACCGTGACAGCAAAAACAAAGAGGGAAAAGCGTACATAGTCCTGTATGCCTGTAGCCTGTCCCGAGCCTTGTACCTCGAGTTGACCAAGACCATGGAGACTGAAGAGTTTATCACTACCTTGAAGCGGTTCATAGCAAGAAAAGGTCCTCCTGTAAAAATCTATTCAGACAATGGTAGGACCTTCGTAGCTGCAGCAAAGTGGCTATGGAATGTAATGCAAGACGAGCGCCTCCATGACTACCTTGCCAAGATGAATATCAAATGGCAGTTCAATCTCAGTAGAGCTCCATGGTGGGGCGGGCAATTTGAACGGATGGTCGGTATTGTCAAGCAGGCCTTCAATAAGTCTGTCGGAAATGGAACCCTCACCTGGGCAGAACTGCAGGACGTGCTGCTAGACGTGGAGGTCGCGCTGAACAACCGTCCTCTGAGTTATGTAGAAGAAGATCTACAGCTTCCTTTGTTGACCCCTAACATGTTACAGTTCGGACGCCCTAACTTGTTGCCTGATCCTGAAGCACACCATCAAGAGCATCCTGATCTGAGAAAGCGTGCAAGATATCTAGCGAGATGCAAAGATGTAATCTGGAAAAGGTGGTCTGCCGAGTACCTAAAGGGGACTACGCGAAAGGCACAACATGAAACACAACAAAAAGGCAGCTATCTGTAACAAGTGGGGACGTCGTTATTATCAAGGGCGACGAGAAGAACCGCTTGATCTAATGTAACTGAAAATTTGTTGATGTAAGGCAATCGAAAAATTGTTGATGTAATGCTATTGAATATTTGTTGATGTAAAGTAACTGAAAAATTTTTATCTAAAAATTAGATTATGCGTCCTCTCGCTATAGTTGGCCTCATAATCTGGTTGTTGTATATTAAGTTCTTCATAGGGTAATGTCTGTAGAGTTTCTGTAGTTGAGAGGGCGTCAGGTGAACTTGTCTTGGCTCCCACGACGCACAATCACCCGAGGCAGGTGGGCGCAGGCTCAGCAGCCCGAATTACTAAAAGGACAGAAAAGGAGGCTGTCGCGAATTTGTTTAAGCCGCCGTCTGCAGTCGTTAACGAGGTGCTAATGGAGGAGCAGACAGATGATCCCTGTCCCAGTTTGCCACAGCCGGTAAACCTCGCCAAAGCAGCTAACCCTCTTCGGCAGCGATTGAGACTAGCAGATTCTGTAGGTTCGAGTTTGAATTCCAGCCCGAACACATCCCCTGAGAACTTTCTCCGTGGAGATATTAAAGTTAGTATTCTACAGTCAATGTGAAAGGCACTTGCAAGCGAAGTTAAAAAGTTCTTGCAACTACTTCATTTATATTTTCACTATCAAATGTTATAGTTGCACGCGTTTATTGTACTATTTATTGTATTATTAGGGAAGTTATTAAGTTGTATTTTATATAGGTTTTAAGATAGATAGATAAGCTGAATTACCAAGATAACATGAAAAGTATATCTTAAGCAGCTAGAATAACGTTTTGTTGTTGTTTTTGTTTAATTTTACAAGTATGTGGCCGTCGTCACCTTATCTTCGCCACCCAGCAACAGCTAGAGGTGTTATGTAGCGCCAAGGCTTGGTATATCGACGGTACTTTCAAACTTTGCCTTTGAAGTGATTCCTGTGCGAAGCAGGTGCCGCTCCTGTTTGCGATCATGTCATGGAGAAAGAAAAGCGACTACAAAGCCCTGATGAAAGCTGTATTCGAGTTGCTGCTAAGAACACCATCCGTGAAGCGAACGACACTTCATTACCGAAGAGCAGTTTAGAGTGTCTTTCGAAAACTCATGCCGGTAGTGACGATCCAGGGCTGTTGTTTTCATAGGAAACAAGCCGGCCTATGGAGAAAGGTATGTCAAATTAAATGTTCGATGTAATCAATGTTAAGTCTGTCAGGAGTCAGAAAGTGGACGAAAGTACATTTGGCCATTTACATAGCTCTAGATATAGAAGTGTTAACTCTGTTTACTACAATTAAAGCTCAAAATCTGAAAAAAAAAAAAAAAAAAAAGAACTGAACTATAACCTTGTTACAAACGAAGGAATTCTCGTCTCTGACGATTAATTTACAAGTCGTAAGTCTCTTTATTAAATACCTGATTTTTGTTTTGTTTCAGGTTCAAGAACCTGGCCTACAATCGTCATACCATCACGACCGAGGTACTTACCAATTGCTTCGCAAGTTCATGGCCCTACCATTCCTTCCAGCCGGCGCCATTCTAGAAGCGTTCTTCAAGCTGAAAAGAAAGGCCAACACAGACCAGCTGAAAGCCTCCGCCAACTACGTAGAACAGAACTGGATCGTCATCAACACCTGGCCGCTGTCCTGTTGGAGTGTTTACCTAAGAGCCATCCGGACAAACAACGACGTAGAAAGATGGCACAACGGGCTCAACAGACGAGCGCAGGTAGGTTAACTATTTGCTTGTCATTACGCTATGGTATCGCCTTTCATCAGCGAGTCTGTGTCACTAAAATAGCTTCCGTTAATTCTCCACCCGCTGTAATTCGGCAGACGCAATGGCCGCCGGACTGCATCAGCAGTTTTAATTTAAGGTATCGTTTGGTTATTGCCTCAGTGCGAGTTAGTAGTTTCTCGGTTTTGTTGCACATTTTCTCCTTCGAGTTCGTGTTTTATTTACATATATATATATATATTCTCCTTTTCACCTCAGGGAAAAAGTTAGCTTCCCTTGTACATGCTGACCAGCTGCTTCACGAAGAGAGCCGCCTGACGACCCTCCAAATCCGAATGGTTTCGAAGCATAAACTGTACAGACTCCCGCGACGAACGTACCGACAGCTGCAAGCAAAGATGTTTAGCCTGTGGGTTCAGTACGAGAACGGTGACCGAACGGCGAAGCAGTTGCTGCGAACGGACCGCGAGATAATTAACAACCCAACTGTCGAACGATCTTATTAGTCTCTTTGAAGGGTTAAAGGTCATAGTAACATCATAGATATGGATTGGATCAAGGGATCTCCTGGATTGGGAAATCATGCTGCAAAATGTCTTTGCAATGCCTCTTATCAGTATAATGGTTTTCTTGGCACCATTACTGTAGAACTTGTTTTTGAAATAAGCAGCTCAGTTTCTAAAAACATCCTTAAAATTTGACCTCTCACTCCTCACCACAGACTGAATGTTGCCTAGATTGGTATTTACAATAATTTGGTTTAATTGTTGAAAAATTTCTTATTTGCATGTCCGTATAAGGCAATCATTCTTAGAAATGGAGTGATAGAGTACCTCTTGTGAACTTTAAATAAGACAGACAAAATTATTTGAAAAAAATACTTGTAAAAAATATTACACGTGTAGTGAAATCTTGTATTCAAACTTTGCCTCAACTTTTGTGAGTAATTGGGTGTTCAACGAGACTCAGAAATTAGAAAAAGTAATTTAACTGGCCCACAAAGAGGGAAAGGGGGAATGCCAACCTGCCCAAAAATATTACAAAATAGTAAAAACCACCTTAGAACTCTGTCTTGTCAGCAGTAATATGATTTATTAAGACACAATCATAACAGGTCTGTCTTTATACATGTGGATAAAAACATTTTATTCAAATATTACTTGATTGTTTTTTGAAATAAGATGACACACAAGTACAATGATAAAATGACTATACATTAAAAGAATCCTGTTTTAATATGTGTAATTGTTTCCTACTGATGGGATTACATTTAAATTTCCTTTTGTAATCAATGGCAGATCAAGGGGGGCAGTTCAGGGAGCTCTGATCCCCCTCCACTAAGAGCTGTGGGTATATTTTTACTACTTATCTGACAGCAAGACTTATGCAATGACAGGATGCAAGGCAGAATGCAATTAAATTATCCTTTCATGTCACGAGTATACCACTTTGTTGCATATAAGCAATACGTTGAAGCTTTGAATTGATTGGTGCATTAAGCTTATTTCACTAACAGTCACATTGGGAATTATTTGGTTTTGGGTTAATATATATTTTTTGTTGAAGATGTCATTGATTTTTAATTGATTTACTGGTTTTGTAGTACTATCAAATATTCTTTTTTGACAAGTGTAATTGAATCTAAGGGTGCGTTTCTTTAAAAAAATCCAAATCCGGATTCTTGAATCCAAAAACGGATTTTGCGTTTCTTTAATAAAATCCGAAAATGGATTTTGAATCTATAGAATCCACACTCCGAGTGGATTCATTAGATCAAATCTAAATCCGGATTTTTAGGATTCATGATCCGTGCGTTTCTTTATTGCACGGATACAAAAAGCAGTACGTTTGGCAAGCGGTCGTCTTCTTAAAATCCGCCACATTCCCGCCATTTTGTTGTAAATATTAGCTGCTACCGGCCATGGCGAATAAACAAGGTGAGTTTTTTTGTGTAGTTTCACCGAAATTTTCCGTCCTGTACGTATTTTTATAAATTTTCCGGATGTTTGATGCGTCTTGGCATCTTTTATTTCTATCTACAGGACAATATTGGACGCACAGTTTATCTGCAGGTGAATATCCAGAATATCAGTGGAACGAAAGCCACGTTCAACCGGGCATTCAACCTTATCTTCCTCAGTTCATGTTTCCACCACCGCAGGCATCACAGTTCAGCCATGAAACAGTCAGATCAGTATCACCTCAGCCTGGTCCAAGTTTTTCTTCTTTGAAACAGCTGCAGCCACGTTCAGTCAGTCGCGTGAAGGCACCGAAGGCGAATCGAGAGCTCTTGTACGCTGGTCTAGAGCTGATGTGCTGTTGTTAATTTCCTGCTATGTCGAACGCAGAGAACGATTTAAAGATATAAACAAAAAGAACAAGTCCCTGTGGGAAGAAATCAGCGAAGAATTAAAGAAGAACGGAGTGTTCTTTAATGCCAAGGCGTGTGAGACGAAATTGAAAAATCTGAAGAGAAGTTATGTTGCTTGTGTTGATCACAACAAAGTCAGCGGAAATGACCGAAAGAAATGCAACTTCTATGACGAACTTCACGAAATATTTTCGAAAGATGATGCCATCGCTCCAAAAACATTGTGCAGCAACATTGATGGTAAACGGAGCAAAGATGCAGTCAAGAGTGTTAAAAATTCCAGTTCCACATTGAGTTCCACAGGTAGTGACACAGAGGAGCCTGTGGTTACAAAAGCAAAGAAAAAGAAGTTACCAGAGCGGAAGAAAAGAGAAGACCTCGTTGGGCTCTTTAAGGAATTTACACAAGACAGGAAAGAGGAAGAAAAGGAAAAGATTAAAAAGTTTGAAAATATGCACAATGAACGCATGGCACTCATCGGCCGATTTTTGAATGTTTTTGAAAATCATTGAACAAAGAGTAACCTTGATTCCATAATTTTTTATTGTGTTGCAGAACATGGGATTATTTGACCACAAACATGAACATAGATACAGTAAACCTGAGTTTGTTGTCAGTATTGAGTTATCTAAAAGTTTATTATATCATACATGTTAACAGTATTATTGCAAGTTGTATGTTTTTTTTTTTATCACATACATACAAGGAACTGCAACAGCAACATTAGGTGAGAGGGCCTAACTAAACTGGTTTTGATATTATTTATATCCTTTACTTTTTTTAGCCTGATTCTCAGATGCTTCAGATCACTTGTGTCACGCACTTCCTCCTTTCTGTGCGTGACACAAGCAACCTGGACTGTCAGAGTATTAGGCTGTTACATTTGTGTTGAAAGTTTACATTTCAAGCAACACCATAAATGTTTCAGGTAGTATAAAGTGATCCATGTACATGGCTCTACTATTTTCTTATATACTTTTAAAAACAAATAAAATATTGATATTTATAGCAAAAAGACTATTATACAGCAGGGTTCGTACGGGTCCTGGAAATCCTGGAAAGTCCTGGAATTTTATTATCGCATTTTCCAGGACTGGAAAGTCCTGGAAAAGTAATGCTGGTCCTGGAAAGTCCTGGAAATCTGTTAAACTGAACAAAGTAATAAAGTTTTCTCTAAAACAAATGAGCAAAGTTTTTTTAGTATTTTTATAACGTATTCCTTTCTGGTTTTGACCGCATGACCGCATCTATATTTTTCATGTTTCCCAGAAACTGACACGAGTGTAACTCTGGATCGAGGGCTCATGTATCATCATAAGCTCATGCGCAGTAGTAACCTTGATGCATGCATGATTTTGTAAACGGGTACTCAGTGAATGGGCGTCTTGAGTTTTAAATGTTTTGTTCCGAAATATGCCTGGGAAATGCTTGTTTAGTGACCGATGGTTGGAAAACTCTTCCTATAAATTGTGGCTGGAACGTGACGCGGACAAGTTTAAAGCAAAATGTAGAGTTTGTATGAAAGCGTTTGATGTATCAAATATGGGAGAATCGGCATTGAAAAGCCACGAAAAGGGAAAGAAGCATATTCATCTTATCGAAAAGCAACAAAGAAATACAACAGGTGACATAAGAAACCTTTTTCTCGAACAGCTCTTTCGCTGCCCCTCGAACAGCCACTGAAAGTAACAACTCTACTTTGACTGTATCAAGTAGTGCCGCTAGTACAACAGCAGGTATGTCCGGGTTCGTGACGAGGAATGATACTTTAACTGCTGAAATTTGGTGGGCGCTAAAGGTGAATAGCAGCCATTATTCGTATAATTCCTGTACAGATATAAACTTCTTAGTGCAGCAAATGTTTCCAGACAGTGACATTGCAAAGAAATTTACCTGTGGGGAGAAAAAGGCCTCCTATCTTTCTTGCTTTGGTATTGCACCATGTTTCAAGAGTCTTCTAAAGGAAAAAGTCAAATCTTCAAAGGGATATGTGCTTTTGTTTGATGAAAGTTTGAATCACGAACTGCAAAAAGAAGCAGATGGATTTCCATGTTCGCATCTGGAATCATGACAAAGTTGAAACTCGCTATTATGATTCACAATTTCTTGGGCATTCTAGTGCAGAGGATATGCTTCAAAAGTTTCATTCTTGCAAAGAGGACTTGAGCTGTAGAAATCTGATTCAACTCTCTATGGATGGGCCCAAGGTTAACTGGAAATTTTATGAAATGGTAGAGCAAGAATTGAAGAGTGATTTCAGTTGCACTCTCCTTAACACAGGCAGTTGTGGTATACATGTTGTGCATGGAGCTTTTAAGGATGGTTGTGATGCAGCTGGATGGACGGTGCAGAAAACTCTCTCCAGTCTTTACTGGCTGTTTAAAGACAGTCCGGCTCGAAGAGAAGACTACATTAGAATAACTGGTAGCAGTGTATTCCCCTAAAATTCTGCCAGCACCGGTGGTTAGAGAATGTGTCAGTTGCCGAGCGAGCACTGGAAGTGTGGCCTCACATTGTCAAATACATTAATGCTGTTAAGGCAAAGAAAGTTACTGATCCCAAGTCCAAATCTTACGAGACCATTAGCAGTAGTTGCTGTGATCCCTTGATGCCAGCAAAGATTGCCTTCTTCTCATCAGTGGCAAAACAGATCAATCCTTTTCTCACAGCATTTCAGACTGATAAACCTATGCTGCCATTCATGAGTATCAGTTTGTACACTTTGTTGAAATCATTGTTGAATAGGTTTATCAAGGGTGAACTTGTTACCGAGGCAACATCTCCTCTGAAGATCCTGAGGTTGAAGCCCACTGATAAAGAACAGCAGTTAGACTACCAGAAAGTTGATGTTGGCTTTGTGGCACAACACATGCTGAAAGAAAAATCTGGGAAATTGAGTGAAAGGCAAGTTCTTCAATTCAGAATGGAATGTAAAGATTTTCTTGCAAAAACAGCCTCTAAACTGCTTGACAAAACACCAATAAATTATCGACTAGTAAGAAGTATGTCTTGTCTGGATCCAAGGCTAATGGCATCAGAGAAAGAAGGATGTGTCAAAAAAATGAAAAGAGTTCTTGAAATTCTTGTGGAAGCCCACAGATTGAAGGCTGATGAGTGTGATGAGGTGATATATCAGTTTGGACAGTTTTTGGATGAATGTGCAGGTAATCCTGACTTTGAAGATTTTGACCCTAGTGAATCCTCTTTAAGAGTCGACACACTGTTATATGAACACATGGCTGGTAATAAGCAACTGGCAAAAGCATGGGGGGTAGTTGAATTATTGCTGCTAATGTCTCATGGTCAAGCCACAGTTGAAAGAGGATTTTCTGTAAACAAAGAAGTGGCAGTTGAGAACCTGTCGGGAAGATCTTTCATTGCACAGAGGATTATTCATGATCATATTGAATCAGTTGGAGGCCTTGCCAATGTAAAAATCTCAAAGCAACTACTTATGGCATCTGCTGGAGCGCGACAGAAATATATTTCCTATCTAGAAGAGCAGAAGAGAATTAAAGTGTCCCAGGAAAACACGCTTAAAAGAAAGGCAGCAATGGATGGGATTGATGTGCTGAAGAAGAAAAAAACGGCAAATTGAAACTGATATAGAGGCTCTTTTAAAGACTGCAGATGAATTTGCAGATAGGGCTGAAGATTCAAGAAACCTTACTTGGGTTGCCAAATCAAACCGTTTGCGAAGATCTGCCAAGGAAAAAGGGCAGTCTTAAAGGACATTGAAGAGCAGTTGGAAGGAAAGCTCCAAGAGCTGAAAAATAATTAACCCCACTTTGAATCCCAAGATGTGAATATTAATTCTACTTAGTATCAGTCACGGATTTCTGATGTTACTTCTGAGATATTAAGAGTTCAATGAAAGAAGTTGATATTCTCTGTTTTCTTTGTTCTCATTTGTATGTCTGACAATGTGTTGAAATTGAAAGTAGAAATGAATCTTTTATACTTATGAGAGTGAAAGAGTTAAGGTGAATTTTGGAGTCCTGGAAAAATAATCTGAAGCCTGGAAAAGTCCTGGAAAAGTCCTGGAAAATTGTTTCTGAAAAAGGGTACGAACCCTGTATACAGTATAAACTTTATGAATGACATACACCACCTATGAAAGAAGTGTTCATGAAAACACCACAGTACAAAAGGTATCAATACATAAACCACTTATAAATGCTAGGTTTATGGGATCAGTCTCATTATCATGTTTCTCTTATCAACTGCTCCTACACCTGGTGGAAAGATGTCATCATCATTGTCATCATTGTCATCATCATCATTGTCATCATTGTCATCATCATCATTAGAGTCATCTAAAAAATCATCGATGTCATCTTCAATAATGCAAATGTTGTGTAAGATGCAAGAGGATACAATAATTTCCGGTATGTCCTCAATTTTGTCAACATCCATCATTGTTTTTAGCTTCCTAAACCTGTTCTTAAAAAGCCCTATGGACCTCTCAACCACCATTCTGGTGGAACTGTGGGCAGTATTGTAACGTCTTTGTTGAGCAGTCAAACGTCCGTTGTCTCGAAATGGGGTCAACAGCCACCTCTTCAAGGGATATGCTGCGTCTCCCAAAATGTGGGAGTTGCCAGGAAAATAATTGTCTGGGTTCACTTCAACTTCTCGGCAGATCGGAGAATTACGAAACACGCGAGCATCGTGTACTGAACCAGGGTAACCACAGAAAACATCGGTTATGAATAAATCCGGGTCACAAATGACTTGTAGTTGGACGGAAAAGAAACCTTTGCGATTTATGTATTGTTCATGATTGTTATGTGGTGCTTTGATTGGTATGTGGGTGCCATCAATAGCCCCCAAAACACCCGGAAAACCCTTTTTTTCTCTTCAAAGGCCTCCATCACCGCTTGGGCTTTTAGACCAGTTGGAAACTTGATAAACTCATCCATTAAGTTCCTCACTATTGCTTTGCAAACTCGTCTGTAGACTCTGTACGCAGTTGCCCTGCAAACATCAAATCGATCGGCAACAGAGCGTAAACATTCTGGATTCCCAAGAATCCACAGCGTAATAAGGATTTGCTTTCTTAACTCGACCGGTGGTCTTCCTCTATCGCCGGTGTATTGAGGTAAGTCGCCGTGGACCGAAAGCAAATGTTCGAGAACTGTAACTGTATGCCGTGACATGCGGAAGTGACTTCGGAAGTCCTCCGGTATGTAACTAGGTACGGTTATTTCGTAAAAATTCTTTGTGCGAACGTGTTCTTTTCGGACGAGCTGTCCGGCCGCCAAAAGGAATAAAACTGCTTCGTCATCGGCTCCTAAAAGAACCTGTTGTTGTTCAAGGTCATCGGCAAGGACTTCTTCGAACAGTTCAAACATCAAACCAAAACTTTCCGCCATTTTGAAAACTCCCCCCAAAACACGCGAACTGCATGCTGGGGTCGTTACGGCTAATTGAAAAAAAAATCCAATTTCGGATTTTTCGTGTCTTTAAAAATAACGAATCCGCATGATCTCGGATTAAGAATCCAATCTTGGATTTTTTTAAAGAAACGCACCCTAAGTCTCTTTTCTTTTCGTTCCCATTTGTCAATAAATATCTTAATTAGAAAAATTTATAACAATACTATTGAAAAGATAAACAAATTAAAAGTTGCAAACTTGGAATACCAAGGACAGCTCTGGAAAAGGCTCTCCTTGAGATGCAGGTCCTATGCATGACACTCTAATTACACTGCTGGGTGAGATCCACCATTATGTACGTATACAATCTCTTCTTTGTTATCTTTGGCTCCAGTCCTGTCATCATCTTGTTCTTTTGCAAACTCCAGAAAAACCTGAGGATATCATTGTAGTTGAGCAGTTTGATCAGTCAGTTAACAAAAGCCCATTTTACAGTTGTGTGCTTGGTTGTCAAGCCTTTGAACAGGAGTGAGGCTAAGGGTGACCTTGTTATGATACAAACCTTGCTGCTTTTCAAATGCAAATTATTTTGTTATCATGCTACCTGGATACTGGTCTCTAACACATCAAGGTCACCTTCAGCCTCACTCCAAATCAAAGGCTTGGCAACTAAGTACACAACTGTAAAATGGCCTCTTGAAACAAGTGTCATATAACACAATATGAAGCAGGGTTGAAAAGTGATGCATTGTTTTTATTTTGAATGAAGAGGCAAGTGGTGATACCATTTTTTCAAATAAAAGCAAACAGATAATAAAAATAAGTAAGTAAAATACTGATTTCACTGAGATTTAAATAGCAGCTGGCAAAAATCTATCAGTTCAGTTGTGGTTGGCTTACAAGTAGGCCCTCATTTGGGATTCTCTGCCCACAGGAAGATTTAAGATAAGTTGGGGAGGTTAGCTGGGGGTCTGGCACTATTAGTGCAACTGATTGGTTGCAACTGATTGGTTGGGAAGGTAGTGCAAGTTTCCCAGACCATGCGTAGAGGCTGAGGGCAGAGTAAAGGAAAATAAAACCAATCCCCGATTGTATTCAACTCTCAACTAAAATTTGCTACAATTTGTTGACCACAAAGGAGCAAGAAAAATTTCATACCTGTTCCAGTGTAGACTGACTGAAACTGTACTCCTCTATCCCAATTTCTTCCTTACCTAAAAAAAACCATACAGCTGAATCAGTGAATGAATATGCTATCAAGTTGTACTTAAAACACTGCTTTAATATTGTTGTTCTCCTTAACCCTGTCAAGCGCTTTGGAACAAACACATTAAGTTACAACTGTGCTGGCATAATCATGAGGTTCTACCAATCTACCAAAAGCTTCTTGACTGGAACTCTTCTGTAGCACAGCTTAAAATGTCATGGAAAAAGAATACTACCAAATCCTGTCCAATTTGATTCAGGATTTTTGCACAATACTGCTCATTTTACTAAACAAAAAGACTTGTAGTCAGTCAGTGTTTTTGGTGCAGGCTCAAAAGGAATGTTGCAACTCTGTCACAGCCGGCATGTTTGAGTTCTTGGCCCTTTACAACTGAACATCAGTACACATATTCTCCATACTGTTCTCTATACATTTTGTAAGATGCTAACAAAGAGAATTTGTTAACTAATCAAGAGCTCCTTTAGTTGGTGATATTTCTGTGTAAGATTCAGGGGTAATATTTCAGGGAGAAATTAGATTTTAGTCTCTACAGGTTAAGCAGTTTTGTAGCGTTTGTTCCTCAGCAGTTGTAAGCACATTTGTAATGGTTGTTTTCGAGAGTCTTCCCCTCCCCCACCTGCCACAATCTCCCCCTTCCTAGATTTTTCTTCCACTCAGATCTAATTAATATTGAAAGGGGCCTGGGAAAGGGGCTTATTGCTGGGTTGAGGGAATTTTGCAGCCATATTTAATCTGGGGCTGTCTTGCCACAGTGGAAGGCTCTTGATATTCCAGGCACCCACCTTCCATTTTAGCAAAGTTGATGAATGCTATCAGGCCCAATCAATCCTCAAAGATATACACCATACCTTTTTCAAGCTTAGTAAAGATGACTGATAGTGCCCCAACACCTTCCTTTGGGACCTTGTATATCACTCTTCCACCAAACACTTCAGACTGGGTTGCACCTGGAAGCAGCTCAATGACATAGTTGTGTAACTGCTCCATTGAACCTTCTGGGCATGGACCCGAGGTGTGGCTTTGCTTCAGTTTTAATTCCAAGGTGTAACCACTACCATAAATACTCTTTAGATGTTGTGTTGAACCAAGACACCTGAAAACACAAGAAGTTGAGTTATTGTCTATTCTACAGTTGCATGTTTGGTTCCTAAGCCTTTAACCAGGAATGAGGTTAAGGTTGACCTTGTTATGATACAAACCTTGCTGCTTTTCAAATGTAAATTACTTTGTTATTATGCTAACTAGATACTGGTCTCTATCACAACAAGGTTGCCTTCAGCCTCACTCTAGATCAAAGGCTTGGCAACTAAGTACACAACTGTAAATGACCTATTATTCAAGAAAAAAAGGTTAAGGGGACAACAACTCTTCCTTATAAAAAAGAAAAGACATTTGTTTGAAATATAACTTACTTGAGTTGGCCTTTAACCATAATACCAATTCGTGAACACAAAGCATCAGCCTCCTCCATGGAATGTGTTGTTAGAACCGCTCCTCTGTTTCCATGGACATTCCTGCTAATGGTGTTCCTGATAATGAGACAGGAAAACAAGCAGCAACTTTGATACAGCAAACTGCCTAACTTTGAACATTTATATGTGAGTTTGTTTAATAGTGGTGATGAGGTCACACAGAGATGTCCAAAGCCGTGAAAGACAAGTTAACGTTTGCACTAAGAGTTATAACAATTTCTGTGAGATGAGGGCAAAAATTAGATGTTGCCAGAAAGTGGTGTGTCACAATTAAAACAACAGAAGTTATAGCAAGAGCAGCAAATGGTTTGTCGTAAGAAAATAAACACATGACTACCAAATAATTTCTCCTTTTAATATCACTCCTGAATCACACATTAACCCTTTAAATCCCAGAAGTGATTCACATGTAACTTCTCCCTACAATATCCACCCACTATCCAGCAAACAGGTAATGAGAATACTCAAATGTATCAGGTAGGAGTTGTTATCTTGATCTAACACCAAATTCTTGCAACTAATTTACAAGGAAATGTGTAGCAGCTAGATGGAAGAATTAACAATCAGATCCTGGGAGTTAAAGGGTAAAGGTCACAAGAAGAAAAGAAATGATCACCAGCTAAAGAAGTTCTTGCTATAATTTTTAAACAAAGTTTCATGTCAGTACATTAAGAAATGTACTGTACTGTATGGAGAATATCCATATTGATGTTAGGTCGTAAAGGATTAACCCTTTGCCCACTGACATCAGTAGGCATATTCTACACACTTTTCTCTACATATTTCTTACTGTGTTGACAAGGAGAATTTTGTATATTAGTTAATGATCATTTCCTTTTTTCTTGTGACCCTAATGTTTGACTCAGGGGTGATATTGTCAGGAGAAATTAGATGCTGGTCACTCTTAGGGGTTAAAGGATTAAACATGAAGGATATAATACAGTTCAGTCAACTTCTTACCATAAGAAACGTCTGGCAGAAGGGTCCATGCCTGTGGAAGGTTCGTCAAGCAGCAACAGCTGTGGATCCCCCAGCATTGCCATGGCAAAACTGACCTTTGAGAACAAGAGATATAAAGCATTGGTATAAATTGACTATCATTCTACAAAAATGTGTGATCTGATGGGCTTTGTTTCTTGCTATCCATTGAGCAGAGAAGAGAGGATTTGCTTCATCTTTCTCACTTGCAGTCAACCAGCATTATAACAAGAAGTACCCAATACATAGTCTCCTAAGAGCAACAGTACATTACACCACATTAGAGGAATAACTGAAAAACTACCACTTAATTAAGGACGCACCTGAACAAAAATTGGTCTGACATACATTATTTTATAAAAAACAGTGACCTTTCGTTTTGTTCCTCCTGAAAGATCTTGAGTCCTCTTTTTAGCATGCTCAGTAATCCTCAAAGCAGACAAATAACTAAAATAGACAAAAATATTTTTTAGATCAATAGAGGAAAAGAACCAAGTGAAGATACAAAAAGCACTTTCAGAATTAGCTAAGGAATGAATAAGCCTAACAAACTTTTGATTTTAGACTCAGGTATCTATATCCACCACCATCCCAACACACACACACATAACATTCTTGTTTGCCTGAGGCCAGTTCAGTTATCAGATAGATTTATAACCAAGTTTCTTGCAAAAATGCAAAAATTGCAAAAATCTAGCTCTGGTTTTGGTTCCTTACAAACAATGTAACAACTTTCACTCCATTGCAAACTGGCTAAAAGCAGACATACCAGGCACCAGGCATGAGACAGACACAATGATTCAGTCATTCATGAGAAAGCACTCCTATTGAATATGCAAAAAAATTATTCTTGCTATTATGGCCCTGATTGGAAGAACGGTGGTTACCTTAAAATTAACCAATAGCTTAGGAAAGAGAAATGTTGCTCTCTTATAAGTCATGAATTAAGGTTTGCCAGAGCTTATCATCTGTCAGAAAAATGAACTCACTGCTCAACGACCCGTTTGACCTCTCCCCAAGGCACACCACGTATCCTGGCAAAAGCCTCAAGGTGCTCTTGCAATGTTATCATTGGCCAGAGTGCATCTTCCTGTGGGCAAAATCCCATGTGTTGAAATGCCTCATGGGATTGTTTTCTGACATCATAACCTGCTACATAGACCTGGGACAAAGAAGGACAAAACAGAATCTGAGTGTTTAATATGAAGGAGCAAAATTTTTAAACACTTACAGGGACCACAACATATTGTAAAACCAGAGCAAAAGTAATCACACAGTAAGTTGTGAGGGTTATTACAAAGAGTCAAGAAGAGGTCAAAGTAAAACCTCATTTGCTTTAACCCTTTAACCCCTAAGAGTGACTAGCATCTAATTTCTCCTTACAATATCACCCTTGAATCAAAAATTAAGGTCATGAGAATAAAGAAGATGATCACCAACTAAAGAAGCTCTTGATTGTTGAACAAATTCTCCTTGTCAGAACCTTAGGGAATGTATAGGGAGTAGTATGCAGAATACAAAAACTGATGTTAGGGAGTAAAGGGTTAAGATTTGCATCAGGATATCACAGATTGAGTAGCTTATATTTATTTACCTTTCCTCTTGTTGGTGGAATGTCTGCTGTGACCATGTTAAGGGAGGTTGTCTTGCCAGCTCCATTTGGACCAAGAAGTCCGAAAACCTCTCCTTGCTCAACACCAAAGTACAGGTCTTTGACAACTGTTTTAGCCTTCTTTCCTGAGCCAAATCTCTTCCATAGTCCCTAAGCAAATGCAAATAATACTAAAAGCTTTAACTATGTCAATAAAAGTAATACTATCAATAATTGAGTGCAAATCTATCAATTCTTGAAGGGGGTAAGTTTCTAAAGAAACTGTGGTGGTGCTTCGGTGGGAGAGTATAACAGGGTAATTAAGTATTATCAACTGAGTTGACAATGTCAATTGGCCACCATAAGGACTTTGAAACCTGACCTTCTGAGTGTTTGCCTTCTTCATTTGCTCTGACGAAGGGCTTATATGCTCAAAATGTCATATTTCAAACTCTTTACAGTGGCCAATTTACGTTATCAATTCAGTTAATAATACTAAATTACTCTTATCAATTCTTAGCTGTGTAATATTGTTCAGATAAGGGGGAGGCTTTGAAAAGAAGCTCTCAGCAATCTTAAATGACAGATCAAACCTGACTGATTGTCTTGGAGTCTCACATTAAGCCAATAACATTAATGAAAGATTACAATCGTTAAATGCTCTAACGCTCAAGAACTGATTGTTGATTCTCCTCTCTTGCTGTAACATGTACATTTCCTCAAAAATTAGTAATGAGGATTTGGTGTTAGATCAAGATAACAAGTTCTACCTGATAAGTATGAGTATTCTCATTACCTGCTGGCTGGATAATTTATGGAGAAGTTACATCACTGTTATTCACCTCTGGGAGTTAAAGGGTAAAATTGCCGAATAGGCTGTAAAAATACCTCACCAGTCTAAAAATGCAGCTTTATGGTAAGCAGGATAACTCTGACTGGCTGATTTGCTATTACAGTCATACATAAAAGGATGAACTTTTTGAAAAGATCAAAGTACAAAGTACAAAGTACAAAGTACAAAGTACAAAGTACACAACATTCCCTAAGAAAACTTCCTCTTTCTCACCTTTACTATTGCAGAAAAGGTAGAATCTTCTATGGAAACCATGTTTGAGACTTTTTCTTTTTCCCTCCTAACATCCTCATCGGTTTCATCCAATGATTGCTTACTTCCCTGTTGCATGAAACTGAAACTTCGGTCTACGTGCACATTGTTCTTGTCAGTCATGCTAAAGAAGCAATAGGACTCTGACTAAAGCACTCCACAACAAACAAGAAAAGGAAAGGGAGGGGACAAGAGAGCATTAACTTGGCAAAGGTCAATAAAATGCATTTATAAAGGAACCTTAACCCTTTAACTCCCATGAGTGACCAAGACAGAATTTCTCCTTACAGTAACAATACAACATCAGCCAGATAAGTGATGAGAATGAAGAAAAATATTAATTTGGGGATAATTAGTTGATCCAATACTAAATTCTCTGAACTAACACTGTAAGAACTGTATGGTTGACAGTAAGGAGAATGACAAATTTGATCTTGGAGTTAAAGGGTTAAGGTATCTAATAATTGGATTCTGAGTTTTGGTCCAAGCTGGATTCTTTTGTTAAGGAGCATACGTCTCGCTAATCCTTTAGCCCCTAAGAATGACTAGCATCTAATTTCTCCTCACTATATCACCCTGAATCAAACATGAAAGTCATGAGAATAGAGAAGATGATCACCAACTAAAGTAATTCTTGATTGCAAAAAAAATTCTCCTTGTCAGCCTCTTTGGAAAAGTACGGAGGACAGTATGGAGAATATGCATACTGATGTCAGGGTGTAAAGGGCTAAAATTACACATTTTTACTGCTTATCTACTATCATAAATTAATTAGTACACTTCATTACCTTTTGGAACACTTGCAACTCACAGCACCACCAGTTTTATGTTGGTCCAAGAGATAGATCAGCCCAGAAAACAGGATAGTATGAAAAACAGGCTGAGAAATGACAAAACAGAAGAGACATCAATGCAAAGACATGATGATCAAAACTTCATGTCAGATGCATACAACTGAATTCCAATATTATGCCATCCCTCTTTGACTTGGCCCCTGTTTAGAGCTTTGAGTCCCTCCACACAAATACTCCAAACTGAAATTGTCTCCCCCCCCCATGCAGCTGACTGGAAATTGTTTTAATTGTAAGTAAATTATTATCAAACATTTAGGCTGAGTTGTGTTCAGTTCAAATAGTGCTTAACATGTAATTGAGGGCTTGTCTCACTTTCCATTTTGAAGGTTGTAGTTTTTTAAACCAAAGAAATGCATTCTGTAAATGCAGTATATTCATTACAGCTGGGCGGGAATTTAGAAGAGGGACATTGAATCCCATTTTTATTTTCTATGATTTTCTAACAATCCCCATAACCCCCCCCTACTTCTACACAAAACAGCAACTGATCAGAATGCCCAGGAAACAAATATGCCCCCACCCTTCCCCCCTCAATGCATCTTTTTAATATTAAACATAAACAGGAACCCTCCTGACATAAAAGCACAGTACTGTAGCAGTAATATAATGCAGTTGAGCAATGGCCACAGCACAGTATTTAAATACACTGAAGCATATCTGGTAATTATGATACTCAGAGTGTAGGAATAACATGGCTCAGTGGTGAACCACTTAAGTGAACACGTACAGCAATCAATGCAGCTGGGATGCCGTTGTATTTGGTCCACTTAAAGTAGTTGCTTGCAGTGACTTCTACATCAACAGATTGACCACCAGCTCTAAATGCTGCTAAAATTGACTCATACCTGTACACCTGAAAAACATAGTGATTAAAAGAGAAATGTAAAGGACATATTTTACCAAGTGAGTCTTCATTTCAAAGGTAGAATAACAGAGAGAATGATGAGTCTGCACGTAAGCCAAGCAGCTCATGCAGCCCAATCTGGGTTTCCTTATAATGAGGCTACTAGGAGTATTACTACTCCCCTCTGGATGAGAGGCCAGTCCATCACAAGGTTACCCCCCACCACCAGCATCTCATTAGCCCTTCCCTGACAATTTGCCGATACCCATTTATACTTCTGGGTGGAGAGAGATACTATGAAAGTTAGTGTTAGTGTTTTTCACAATAACACAACACAATGACCCATTCAGGTCTCAAACCTAGACCTGTTGAGCAGGAGTCCAGTGCACTGACCATAAGGCCTCTACATCATCCATTGAGGGAATACAGGAAAAGCAAACATCATACCCAAATTTCATCAAGCTTACTAGAGATCAGATAAAATTGTGGCTGAAAATCTCTTTGTACATTTGTGAAAGATTTGTATTTATACTCACACTGTCAATGTAATACAAAGCTCCAAATACTGGATATGGAGGCAACAGGAACACAAACACGTAATGAAGAACAATAGCAGTATCTCGGCTTGCTGTCATATCCACAAGTGATACAGTCAAGAATGGAATTATTGCAGTCTAGAGAAAATAAATAAATAAAAAGAAACATTACTATGGAACAACAACGAAAAAAAAAAAGCCACCACCAAATTCAGAGGGGCAACTACACTCAGTGGATAGATGCCACTTAATATGGTGTGCACTTTCTTATGTGTCACACCTGTGTTCTTATATGACAAAACTTTTTAGTATTTCATACTAAAAACTGCAACAATTTCAGACATGAGTGAAAACAACTAAGCCTCCATAGACTTCTTTTGCTACTGCTTTCATTAAGTGTATGTAATAAGAATAATAATATTTAGTTGTAATGAAGGATTTCTATAGCCACATTTTGCAGGGTACTTTGACCAAACTGCATTGATCAGTTGGTTTACAATGTGTGAAGAAAATTTTTGCAGAAACCCCTGATTTCAGAATCAAAGCCAGACCACAACATTAGGAGGTGGGAGGTATGTAACCTACTCGGTAACCTGGGGCTGGAACATGGCAGTTGGGCATTCTACAACCTGAGCTAACAAGACAGCAAGCAAGGGAGCACATACCCCCATTGCCAAAATGAGCTTGTGTAGATAAACTGAACACATGATTTGTTCCATTGTGCCACCTTGCAAAGCCACCTTTGTTAGCCCTGATGAAACAGTCATGATAGTTGATGATAGTTTAAAATAAACTATTGTGCATGTTTGAACATACACTATCATGCACTATCATCAGCTATCATTAACTTCCATTTAGTTTGGACATGTTCAAATTCGACATGATAGTTGCTGATAGTTTTAGCTGTTTGAACCAGCTGATGATAGTGAATAATAATTTTTTGGTTGACAGTTTTGCCAAAAGCCAGCTCAAACCAAAATGGTAAATGGTAAAATGACTAAAGAAGCCATCAAAATTTTGCGGCTCGTAACTCATTCTATTCATCACCTGGTAGGCTTTATAGGTATCTTCAACTTACTACCTCTGGACCAAATTTCAAATGCCACCAAAATTGCTGACCTTAGTGTGCGCTATTATAATACCTGTTTATAATTATGCAATCTCATTGCATGATTTTCTCAACCACTATCAACTATAATGCACCATTTGGAATGCAAACATGACAGTCAATGATAGTGAAAAAAAGTTGAAACCATGATCGACCATGATCGACTGTCGTAGCCATTTTTGAATGGGGCTTAACAATAAACAACCATTGATTATCATCATACTTACAAAGGTGAACACATTTGGCAAAACTTGCTGGGAGACATCCCATGCATTGAACATAAAGGACATGAGGTACGAGAACAGTATCCCAGCAGGTATGTACAGGAGGGCTGCAATCACTAAGCAGCCCATAGCAGGGGGAGGAGACAGTGAAGGCAGCTGAAAGGCTGGTATAAGTATCAACATCAGTATCACTGGAATTAAGACTACAATACCATCAGAGATAAGAAGCTCCAGCCAATACACAAAGGATGATACTCCAGACACCCTCAGTAAATGGCGCATCTTCATCTGCAAGACAGAAGTAACATTTATTTATAAACACTGTAGGTGTCATTATGATAATTAAAAGGTGACAATAGGCCTATTATTGAATTGAAATCTTTTCAAACTCTCTGTGTTGTAAAATTTTCTTTTTTCCTCAAATTTATTTAACCTTTAGTGTATTAACTATTAACTACACCACAGATGATTACCAGAATTTTCCACAGAAAGCAAATAAAAGCAACTTGGAATGACATTGGTTTTGCAGTTTACTATTTTCTATGACCGGTCTAGAATATTGTTGTTGCCTTTTGAAATAATCAAATGCAAAACTAAAATAACTTGTAATACTAACTTTCCAACTGTTTGCTGAATTTTCCTATGATTCACACTGGTGTTGAAGGATTTACTTTAAAATCTAATGAATCCTTGTGATATCTATCCTTTTTCTGATTGGCTGATGAAATAATCTCTGTCAGTTTTGTGTGGCAACAATCATCCAAAAACAGTTTTATCATGAAGACCCATACACAAACACAGAAACCTTTTAGTTAATATCCATTCCTTTGTTCTCACCTGCCGTTCTGCTACAACCAAAATTCCAAAGCTACCTGGAATAATAGCGAGAGCCATCCCAATGAGAAGGATTGACACAAATGCTGTGTTGTCATAAGTCCACTGAGGTTTGAGGTCAGGGAAGGCAAGAATGGTTGACTCCAGTGGATAAGGCGTTTTGTTTTGACTTTTTAGAGCATTCATGTGCAGGATAGATCCCAAAATGTTGATGCCAACAGGTACACTATGTACAGCTGTGTCGTTGTAACGCATCTCAAAGCTTGATGAAATATCCTGAAAGGCAGTGCTAGGCAATGTGAGTGACACACTGACAAAAACTTTCTTGATGACTCTTTAACCTCAAAGAATGACTGGCTTCTAATTTCTCTCTACAGTATTACCCTTGAATCAAATGCAAAGGTCATGGGACTAAAGGAAATAATCACCAATTTAAGAAGTTTCTCATTGTCAAACAAAACCTCATTGTCAGTACCATAGTAAATTTAAAGAGAAAAGTGGGAGAGTATGAATATTAATCTGGGGTTAAAAGGTTAAGTAATAGGAATTAACGCATACTAATTAGGTTCTTTTTATTCAGATATAAATTCCAGAGCCTTTTTCTAATGAATGGGCCATTTCTGAGATGCCCCAAGCCTCTGTTTCAAAATGAGGCACAGTGCATGATGTAGGAATCAATTTACATTCTCATGCAGATAAAATTAAATTTTACAAATGAATAGGGGTTTCACAGCAAGTTTCATTTTTGTAGCGAGTGCCCTTGGAACTTGGATATGGCCTATTATCTTGAAAATGTGGGTCAAATGCTCTGGCTGAAATGCTTTAATTTACTTACGCTGGATGGTGACAAATTGTCTGCAGGAAACTTGAGAATGTTAAATCCCAAATTGTACAGATCATGTGATGACTTGCTCAATATGCTACTTATAGAAGACACCAACATGGTGCCAACATTATAATCACTCAGGTACTTCATAACATGGTCTATAGTTTCTTTGGTTGAGTTCTGGAGAAGAGCAAAGGAGGCGTAACTCTCTTTACTTCCAGGTTTCAGATACATCTCAGGTGTCAGTTTGAGAGGCTCCAAACCAGTTGCTGATTGGCTGTCATTCTTGGCTCCACGTAAAATTAAAAGACCAGATATCATGAGAATTGGTGGAATAATAATTTGGAAAAATATCTTGGCTGGTGAACGGATTGACATTAACCAGCGAATCTGGAAAGAAACAGAAAAGTAAAGCTCTTTAAGTTCAACCATAGTATTAATGCAAATCCAGAAAAAAGAAAATCTGCTCTAGTTTGTGTTGACAAGTAACATACCCACAGTAATCCTAAGACTTGTTGTTTTGCCTTCCAGACTAATTTCTGTGAATCAGCCATCAGTTCTGTATTATTCAGTTCCACTCCTGTGTTATGTAAAGCATTGAAGGATCCAGAAATCCTACTACCTCCATCTTCAATGTTGACTGCATCTGAAGGTGCCAACAGATTTGCTCTACTTTGATCGAACTTTCATAAAAAGACAGAATAGAAAGGACATTAGAATGGGTTACTCTAAGGTAAAGGAAGGCAATTTTCAGTCACAGTAGCGCAAAAAAGGTCAAACATTCAGTGAAATTCAGTTTTTAAAGCACATTACCGTGGGGAAGACATAAAAGAATAAAGACTCTGGAAAGCTAGTCAACCATACAAGCATGCCCTGCCCCACCGTTACAGTATTAGTTTCCAATTTTAAATGCAAGGATTTCTTACTGATTCTTGTGCATCATCTGTTGATTTTTCACTCTCTTCAGAGGTGTCTTCTAATTGAAGAAATACTTCTTCTAGAGTTGTCATGGAAACACCATAACTTGTCACACCTAATAAAGGGGCAGCACAGCCTTCCGAACTGTCATTGTTGTCCTCAAGTGCCTTGAGCAGATCTGGAATGCATGTGAAAATTGAGTGATAACATATCAATAGGAAAAGGTGTCATCAGGGAAACATCTTTCATATGCAGACACCCCTAAGGGTGTTCATGACAAGTTAATACCACTTGAGTATTACAGCCAATTACATCAGAGCTAAACTGACCAATCAGTCTACACAGACCGCTCTTAAAACACTATTGAAACACCTTTTCACTTGATTCTGATGATGACTTCTGCTAAGGTTGTCAAAATGTTATTCACCAATATATCCACAACAATTCTTGTTTAAGCTACCTTCACTCAGATGACCAGATTATGCAATCAGACAGACAGGTTTCTAATAACAATTACTGGCAGTGATCAATTTTGGTGTTGATAATTGCATGCCTAATAGAAGTGTCTGTAAACCCTTTCACCGCAAAGAGTGACTAGCATCTAAATTCTCCTTGTAATATCAACACCAAAAACACATGAAAGTTTTGAGAACAAAGGAAATGATCATAAACTAAAGAAGGTCTTGACTGTTAAACAAATACTCCTTATCAGCACCTTAGAAAAAGTATGGAAAACAGTGTGGAGAATATGCATATTGATGTTAGGGTGTAAAGGATTAAAACAATGGGTTCATCTCAGGGTAAATATGGGAAGAAAATTAATTCACAGCCGAGTTAGGCTTAGTCATTATTTTTATATTACAAGAAAAATACCACCAATTGAAAGTAACTTGAAATCGGCCATTTGTAACAGGCAGTAATTCATTAATTTTACCTGGAAAACATGATACTTGTTCCATAGGAAGAGCAAATGACATTTCTTTGCCATGGTGACGGATAGCTTCTGCACCTTCTACTTTGCTTTGAACAAGCTCAATTAATGGCTGAGTATTACAATTCTCAGCTAGAGCCATACTGAAGGGAAAAAATATTGTTACTCAAAGAAAGAGAGTGCTTTGCAATTGTCATAAAATTAAAACCAGTGAGTAAAAGTAATCACAACAGCCAATTGGAAAAATATATCTGGAGTCAAAGAGAACTCAAAATAGAAACTAGCAAACCACTTTAAGTGCAGGAAAATATGAAAGACCAATTCCAACTTGAATTAGCCCTTTAACTCCCAAGAGTGACCAAGACAGAATTTCTCCTTACAATGTCAATACAATATCAAGCAAACAAGTGATGAGAATAAAGAGAAATATCACTTAAGGAAGAATTTACCAAATTCTCCAAAACAAAAATTGCAGACAGTGAGGAGAATTACTGAAAATGAGATCTTGGGAGCAAAAGGGTCAAGAAACTCCAGACTGAAAGAAACTATGGTAACATTTAAACTTCTGGCCAATACTAACTTCAAATGATATCCAATTCCAAAGCGATTCTTGAGAAAAAGCGAGCTTCCTGCACAGCGCAGTTTTCCTTTAGATAAAATAGCCTTGTAATCTGGGAGTATAGAAACATATATTAATTTATTCAGCATTTGAATAATTATTCGATCCTGATATAAAAATTCCTGCGCATTTTTTTTCCCCACATTTTAAACAAAACTGACATAAATAGTTGCCGTACAGAAGGAGATTGGGCAAAGCTTTGACATAAATATTGCCCGTATCTCAAAAAATAGTTAAGATGACGTAGACGTCTACTCAATTTGTATGCAAGACTCTTGGAGCCACGAGTGGCCGCAAATATTGAAAGATAGCCAAATTAGCAAAGTACTTAACAGTTCTCGCGAGATAACTAATGGACCATATATGAGTTCAAATTCCTGCACAATTTTTTTCCCCACATTTTAAACAATTTTTGATCAGAGAACCATATGAAAAAGAGGGAGGGCTTTATGAATGAGTGTTCTGTGAAAAAAGTGACGAATTAAGAGCCAATCAAAGCAGAGATACAAACCAAAAGGAACAGTTACTTAGCTTGTTACAGTCAGATATCAGTTTATAATTAAATAATTTATTTACCAGCTAAAATGTCAGCCTCATCCATAAAATGCGTTGTAAGGAGAACCACTCGGTTCTTACACTTCTCTTTCAACAAGGACCACATGAGTCTTCTTGAATATGGATCCATTCCACTTGTGGGTTCATCTAAGATGACCACCTTTCAATTGTGTACACAATAAATATCAAATATGATATTTGAGTCGACAAAGTTGCTTACACAAGTACACTTGAGTCCTGGCCAAGAACTCTGATTTCAAGCCTGGACCCACAAGGGTCACTGAGTTGAAGCCTGTTGGATATGACACTATTGGTAACTCTGAAATCGCCTTTCTCTATGTGGGGGTTAAACACTGTCCCACAGTCACTTAGCAAAATACTTAAAAGGAAGGATTCTCTGTTCTGAGGCCCGTTTCTCAAAAGTCTCTGTAACTAAACGGTGCCAGAAGCCATACATGTATTTGAAATAAAAATTTTAAGGTTAGAGAAGCAGGTTCTGGCATCCCAACCAGTCCAGTTTGTTTCTTTAGCTGATAGTATTATTGTATAATTTTAAAAACTTTTGAAACCCCCATCTTAAAGAAAACCAGAACAGCTTTTAATTACCTATGAGAAATGGGCCCCTGGACTAACGTCCTGCCTGATAGAAAGGCAATATTTCATGGATCAAAGGGTTGACCTTTAATTCACTTCAAGGAGAGATGGAAACGAAATTTCTTGAAACCACATCACTACATTTCCAAGAAGAAGGGTGATGAGAAGACAGAAAAATATCAGCTATTGTAGGCGTATGGTTTGATTTAACACTAAAAACACAGGACTAGAATGATCAGGAATATAAGGCAGACAGTAAAGAGAATTGAAATTTTGATATTTGTCTTCTGGAAAGGTCAACAGGGGTTAGGTTATAGAAATGACATTGGGTTTCCATCTTCTCATAACACTTACAAGTTAACAAATACGTACAGGTGTATACCTTTGGATCTCCAATGAGTGCTATGCCAACACTTAATTTCCTCTTCTGGCCTCCACTCAAATCTTTTGACAAAGTGTCCCTTTGGTCTGCCAAGTCAATTTCCTTCAACAATGAACTCACCTTGAAAAAAGTGCAAGTTACTTGATATCATTTCCCTGCATTGCACTCTGCATCTTTAAAATTCATCACTTTACATGATTTGCAGGTACACAGATTGAAAGAAATCATGGCTTTTCATCTACAGCCAGAGGTGATTCAAATAAGGCAAATCATCGATTTCTCATAGAAAATTAGGGTTTCCTATAATTTCTCTCTCTATTCTTTTCAAAGGAAGCAATTTAATTTCTCTGTAGAATACACGAACCACTATTTTGGCAGTATCACGAAGAATCACATGTGTGAGGGTATCTGAAAAGCGTCATTACTCCAAAACTGGCCTGTGGCAGTTGCAGGTGCCATTCTAAAGAAAAGACCTGAGGTAACATCATAGATCATGTAATAACTTATCACTAATTTATACAAGTGGCAAAGATTTTCACATGCAACAGAGATTTATTATATGCAACTAGCAACTTTACCATGTCACCTCTCTGCTCCACTGGCACTTCTTTCAGGCCAGAGTAGAACTCTAAATGTTCTTTCACTGTCACAAAGTCAAAGAGTACATTCTGCTGCTGACATACACCTTGCATAAAACAAAAGCAAACAAGATGAAAATTAGTTATATCTAAAGGATCATTAAACACCACACTGATAAGACATGGTCAAAACCAAGATTACTGACAAAGAAAATGTAGTAAATTTCACACTAGGTAGGGTGATTGCATTGATGTTGGTATCTAAGAAGCTGCTCATCTACCCTTCCCCTAATTCCACATTAACCCTTAGTTGTTATCATGTAGTTCATTGATGTTTGGTTAGGGCAGGGGTAGGTGGGCAGTTGGTCAGATATTGATACTGATCTGGGTTATCAATGAGAACTGGTTGTCAGAGAGGGAAAAATACACTTAATTTGCATTCTCACCAATGCCTTTTCTTATTTCCTGCATCTGATTGGGGTCGGTGATGTCCTTTCCGTAGACAGTGGCATAACCCTCAGTAGCAGGAACCATTCCAGTCATCATGGCTATCAGAGTTGTTTTACCTGCTCCATTGTGACCCAACAGCGCAGTCACGTGACCTTCATATATATCCATGCTGACCCCTTTAGGTGAGACACAAAAGTTTTCATTAAGGAGTCTCAACCTGAGGAGTTAATCTTCAAAGATAGAAGAAAGTTCTGTCTGTTCCATTTAAAAGGGAGAACTGCATTTGTTAGAAGTTTACATGCTTTCAAAACTGACTGACTATAACTATATGAGTGAACAGCTGACTGGCTGACCAAAAAGTGACTGACCTAATGCTTGTCTATTTATGTATTTATATGACTGACATTTGGCACATCTCATATTCACTTGCCTTACTGACAGATGGACTGACTGACTGACTGTGTTAAATAACAATCTGATTCTTGAATGATCGACTGATAACTGTCTATCTACATGACTACTTCCTGTCCTGCTTAGCTGACTGACCATCTCATGACTGACTGACTGACTGACTGACTGACTGACTACTGACTGACTGACTTACTGACTGGTGACTGACTGACTGGCTGACTGGTGACTGACTAACTGACTGACTGATGACTGACTAGTGATTGGCTGGTTATTAACTAACTGACTGACTGGTGACTGGTGACTGGTGACTTACTGACTGCTGATTGACTGACTGACTGGTGACTGACTGACTGACTGGTAACTGACTGACTGATGCCTCACTGACTGACTGACAGACTGACAACTCACTGACTAACTGACTGATGATTAGTTTAATAGCTCTTACCATCAACTGCAACAACCTCTTCTTTCCCATGGTAAACTTTCCTCAATTTGTGAATGCTGGAAGAAAAATACAGAAACAGAATACAGTCACAAAGTAAAATTCATTTGGCACATAAACACAAGTGACAGTTTTTCTCTATCTCATTCAAGCACTGTTACAATAATTACACTTGTTTGTAATACCTTATAACCTCACTCCCCTGTAAGTCTGCTGGCATGGCCTCAATATCTTCAGATGCCTCCTCCACTCTTGCAGAAAGCTGTCTGGAAGGTGCTTTCTGTTGCTCCTTCTTGCTACAGATACTTTTCCAAAAGGATGGTGTAAAAATGAAGTAGGGGGGCCTATGCTGACCATACTCACCAGGAATCACTGCATCAAAGTACAGAGCCAACAAAAGATACAAAACAGTGTCCACCAGCAGCATCAGAGTGGGATACATGGATGGAAAACTCCCTTTAGTGGACCAGTTGTCAAAGTTCAGACCTTCCCCTTCAACAGCCTAAAATTTTAATATGGAACAATTTTTCAAGGAACTGTGGACAAACCAATATCTTCATTCATCTATACTTACTTCTTCAATTTGAGACAAATGAATGTCTATTCTACGTATGAGTTTTAACAGCCTTATAGTTCTTTAAATGCATTGAATTTGCAAATAATGGTGTAATGAATAAGAAAGAAAATAACATCAACCTACCTCATACAAGGCAAGAGCAAATGCTGTTGGTGAAAAGAGTGATAATAACCACTTCACCACATTAGACACTTCAACAAGGACCAAGGGTATGGCAATGGTAGCAAGAATTGTTGTCACCAGAGATGCAAAAAGGCCAGCACTCTTGGCACTTTTGAAGAATGGTGTAAACATGAAAGACATTGTGATGATGCTTAAGCCATACAGGTAGCAGATGATGACTATAACAATATAGTTGCTATTGGAAAATATGTTTCCCAGTATTGTGATTGCATTCAAAATGAGGACAGCTACTAGCATGATTACTGCATATGTAATAATCCATGACAACCAGTATGCGATATCAGAAGTACCCATGATCCTCAACAACTCCTTCAGTTTAAGTTCCTTCTCTTGCACTAAATTGACAAGCAGTACAGTGATGTAAGGTGCAAAGGCCATGACCATGTATATCAAAATAGTGATGGCAAACCCTCCTACAGGTTGCTTGTAAGATCCCTTTGGCATCATCTTTGCCTGGATGTCTGGGACATTGTAGTGAGATAAATTCACCTCAACCTTTGACAAGAAAAATATCATCAATCGAATCACTTCCAATACTTAAAGCAAATCACAAGTCAGAGGATTAAAATTAAAATTTGTCTGAAAATAACCTTGTATACCTTCCTGAAGTTCTTTTCTTTACTCACTATGTATGGCTGATACTTAAATTAGACAAGTATTGCATTATGAAAAAAAACACAAGTGATTTTTATATTCTATAATCAGTCTGCTTACCATCCCATTTTCCCACACAATGCTGAAAGATTATTGACAACTTTAAGTAAACTGAAATACAAGCTATGTATAAAAAAAACACTAAGGCAGATCCAGAGGTGATCCAGGTAGTTTGGTTGAACCCCTGACACTGAACTGAAAATCATCTAAAACGTGCAATTCATTGTTTGTTTGTTTGTTTGTTTTTTTTTAACAATTATCCCTTAAAACACTGGAAATAACTTTTTTCAAGACCTTTCACTCAACATTCTTGGCAGGGGCATGCCTCCTGACCTTGGCAGAGGTATGCCTCCTTTTTCGGAAACCCCTCCTCCCCTCACTTATTCCTGGGTCCGTCCAAGGAAAAATTATATATCACCAACAATTACCTTTGTAATAGCAGCATCAATTATTGTTTGCAGGGTTGCTATTTTCATTACAATATAAGAATTAGCAGGGCAGCCGCCCGAAAACAAACTGTGGACATCATGACATTCACCTAGACCTAAAAGAAGGAAAATAGTAAAAAAATTGAATATTTATGCTAATACATTTTCAAGTCACAACGCTCGACACAAGAATGATATCCTACCCCACCCACCCCACATATTAATTTAGGCTGACACAATTTTTCACCCAATCATGTCAAAATAATCTCATGAGATGTATGCTTGAAGTAGGAACATTTCAGGGGGGGAGGATACTATCTTTTCCTAGTCTGGATGGGTATGAGATACCAAACAACCAATCGTTTACAGGGCCATGGCCTCTAAAGAGGGTATACGATGTGAAATTTTCACGTCCTTGATTCTTTACTTAAGAGGTTTGGAGAAAAGGGAAATTTGAAATCAAAATATCGATGTAAAATTGCTTATTCAACAATACAGGTTAATTTCGAACGAACAAGAAAGCAACATTCTGCCTGATAGTTCCACCTGCTGCGCTGACTAGTTCACATTTCAGGTAGTGGGTCAATGTTTCAGGTCATGGAGTTTAGATTTGAATACAAATGTCACCCTGTCATACTGGTTTTAGAACCACACCTCTTAAAATATTCCGCTCCTAATATAAGCGGTTGATCTCGTAGATAATCAATGAAAATAATGCATTCGAGCATATACATGTATGTAGCTGCACTCACCGACAAGTTTGTTCTTTGGTGAAGGGAGTCCTGCCGGGACGCGAAGTGTGTAAGCAAGTCCTTTCTCTTTACCTTTTTCGAATTCGATCCCCACAAGAAGGTTGGTGTGCTCCTTGTAAAAGGCTAGCAAACTGTCTGTGCTGTTAAACTCAAGATAATTCGCACCGTCCTTCGAGGCGTTCCTAACTATCTCCATAACCGGACCGGCACTTGCGAGATTGTTGGTAACGTAGCCGATATTTGGCTTGGAGCTCGCATTTCCCGGCGATCCAGCCAGTCCCATGCTGGAAATGTTCGCTGTGGGTATTTCATTTTCTCCTACAGCTGGTTTTAGCTCCGTCGGGATGGTTCTTCTTATGATCACTAACAGCACAATCCACCAAATTGGGATGAGTATCTCTTGCAAAGTTTCCCGCTTGTTCCGTTTTTTGATGTGGAAATTTTTCAGAACGAGATATTTAGTTTGTTGTATAATTCCCATTATTCATTTGTCATTTAGGAATCACACAAGTGCTTCTAACAGTAATCGACAACCTCAATAGAACGTGTCTTCTATCCAAACAACTACCAACTGTCAACAACTACTGATGGCACACGCGTGACGGCCACACAACTCGCAGGGTGACGCGTGATCGAACCCAAGTTATCGGCGTCCTCACAACTTACGTGATACGTGTTTGCTATTTTACAAGCGCGTGACACAAATACTGCGTGTGTATCAAAAAATAGTTAAGGTGACGTAGACGTCTATTCAATTCGTACGCAAGCCTCTTGGAGCCACGAGTGGCCGCAAATTGAAAGATAGCCAAATTAGACGTAAATAAAGACCTAAACGAATTCAAAAACCACGTTATACCCTTTCCTGACATAAAGATAGTTGCCGTACAGAAGGAGATTGGGCAAAGCTTTGACATAAATATTGCCCGTATCTCAAAAAATAGTTAAGATGACGTAGACGTCTACTCAATTCGTACGCAAGCCTCTCGGAGCCACGAGTGGCTGCAAATATTGAAAGATAGCCAAATTAGCAAAGTACTTAACAGTTCTCGCGAGATAACTAATGGGCCATATATGAGTTCAAACTACGAAAACATTGTCAAAACTACGACTACTGACTTATTAAACAACAAACTTTATAACATAGCCAGTAAATTTGTCTAATCAAATTCAATTGCGCGAGCGTGCTTCATATTCCTATTGTGCACGCTCATGACGTCAGCAAACAAATCCCTCAAGAAAAAAGTTTTCCTTCGAGTTGAAAATGTTATAAAACAATTGGTTCATACGTCAGCTGTGCGTTCATCGAGATATGAAGCACTTGGGAAGTTTGGAGAGCACTCAAGAAGCTAGAGTTGCTCTCGGCTACGCCTCGAGCAACTCTTACGCATCTTTCGCGCTCTCCAAACTTCTCGCGTGCTTCATATCTCAATGAACGCACGCTGACATATGAACCAATTGTTAAATGATGACTATGATGCCCAGACGAACACCTCAGATGTTGAATTGGAAAAATAAAAAATCTTCGTGAACATCGAAGGTGAGGAAAACAATAAGCTATTGGATGAAGAGGGTACTCAACGAACCAACTTGAATAGTAAATACGTATTCTTGACTCTTGTGTTAAATATCCTGATTATTTAATTTGACTTTTTCTAAGTTCGATACTTGTAAAGTACGATTTGATATTGCGATACGAAGCCCGAGTAAACGCACTCGGAGCGTTTAGTTTCGACAAGTCGACTTTATTTGACCGGCAAAAAGCAATATGACAATAATAATAAAAATAATAATAATAATAATAATAATAATAATACGGAAGGTTATCTTGCCTCCGTTTCACCATAAGGTTAAGGGGAGAGGGTAAGACGACACGAAGGCTGCTAGAGAGCAGCCCGTGAACCAGAGATTTGGTCTGATGCGGGTAAGGCGTTTCAGTTTGGCCCATTAAAACGTAAAATACAAACCCAATACAACATGTATGACACTACTACGCAGTTTCGTACATGCAACAAACTCGTCCGTTTTTCGCTTCTAAACAGAAAATTTACAATTCTTTGAATAAAGATTTGGTCTCGAAATATTTCTTGGTCGTTTTTGCTCTGTCATTTATTCATGGTTTTCGGGTAGAACACTATCACTTGATCAACCCGACAAAGGTGTAATAAACCTTTTTTTTTTTTAAGCACAACTTGTGTCTGCATGTTATGTTATAAAATAATAGATTCATGCTTTAACTGTCCGTATATCAAGTTATGGATGCACATGGGAAGTTTTGAGAGCACGCAAGAAGCTAGAGTTGCCCGGGGCCCAGCCCCGTACAACTCTTACGCTTCTCCCGTGCTCTCCAAACTTCTCACGTGAATTCATAACTCGATATACGTACGCTAAGCATGGAGAAATTCTTTATTCTTAAAGTGCAAGCAGGAAAAGCAGGCTAGCTATTGACAGTATTCAGGGTACAGAATTTATCTCTTGTTGAACTTTAACATCAAGGGAATTTTTAAGAAGTTTAATCAGAAGCCCATCATCAATTTGCCGGCATTTATGCTCGATGTTCTGACTATAGCATTATGCGCAAAATAATGCCAGCATAATCTGATCCGAACTAGACCCACGAATACAATGCCCGATGTGTTCCCTCCTAAAACATGCTTTTCATCTTTTGCCTGCAATGATAGCCACCCTTCTTCAAACAAGTAAATTTCAGAAATGTAAAGAAACAGGAGTATAAAGGGGTAGGCAATTGGATGGAAAACAGTGAAGAAAGCACAAAGTAGTATAACTGGACAAAATTGATTACGACTGCAAAGGATTGTTGTCCATTCCAAGCGATCTGTTCGTAAAAAAGACTGAAGGGCGGCCTGACTGAGGAGCTAATTGAGCTCGAGTCCAAACTCGTTCCCAGGGTCTCTCTTCCTTAAGCACTCGTTAGAGCTCATTGGTTCTGTCGCTCCTGGAGGCGATAAGAAGATAGGCCCTGGGAACAAGAATGGCTGTTGTTGGGGTAGTCTAAGGAGCAGAGAAACTTGATGATCTTGTCAGAATAGATGACTAATACCTGTCATACCTTGACCTAGCCCTGTTCTGAATGTCACCTAAAGTACAATTAGTTTTCAATTCGACTTTCCGCTTTACATTTGACAGCGCATGATCATGTGACCATCTTTCCGTGACCTCTGCAATAAACGTCATTTCGTGAGCGCGACAAACTGTTGTAATGCAAATATACTTAAGTGCTTCGTTTGAAATTTAAATAAAGCATGTATTTGTCGACAAAACACGCAATAAAGCCCTGCTATTACCGTATCCAAGCAAATTTTTGCTCCGTAGATACTAACCAACTCTTGATTAGAGTTTTTTTCAAAGATATTCAGAATTTTCGCGCGGACGTTTTACATTAACCGTATTCTTTTGACTTATAAAACTGATAAGGTTATGAATACTTATTACAAAAAAACATTTTATTCATTTGAATAAACGTTTACTTTGGATGAGTTATTTAATTCTGAATTGAAAAACACATTCCAGTCATTTCTTGCATGTTGGTAGAATTTTCTCGACAGCCGATTTTCAAATGTATTGAAATTATTGCACGAAGTATCCAGAAACATCTATGTCTAGAATTGATTTTATTATTCCATTATCCTCGTGTTATTATCTTGATTCTTGAATAGCGATCATTTACAACTTCCTCAGATTTTATTTCTACCTCGTTTCATTTAGATTCACTTTTTGTTTTTAAATTTACATTGAGTTGTTACGAGTTCAATTTTTTGAATAAGTTGCTTTCTTTTTTTCAATAAAGCAAAGTTATTATTTATAAAACACATAATAAAAATTCATAACAGCGTTTTCCTGTTTCCTTTGTCCTGATCTTCCTCACCGTTGTTTATTTTGCCAGAAGGCGCATTATCTCTTTTGTTTCTTCCTCGTTATTTCGTGTTGTGAACTTCCAAAAACCTGGCGTCGATTAAAGAAAACTGCAATGGCTTGTGTCGAGCGTGAAATGAGAAGGCGCAAGACCTGAATGCAAATTAACAGCCTCCTTTCGTAACAAGAGTACTTTCGATCGACGCAATATTAAACCACTTGTTCTTTTCCATTACAATTTATTTCTTGTCGTTACCTCGTCTTTATGAGGGTAAAGATCTAGCAGATCGGCGCTGTTGATGCAGTTTCATTGGTTCAGTTGTATCAGACCTTGAACGCCCTCTCTTTCGTAGATATCGGCAGTAGCGAATATCATCAAATGAATGTTCGCCGCCTTTTGCTCGCTTCTTAAACTCTTCGTCCTTTTTAAAACTCCGAACATGAGGTTTAAAAGAAATGCCCTTCGTTATGGGTGGTAGATGTGTTGGTGGAAGTTTTAGCGTCGGTCCTAAGCTGAGTTCCTCCTCGTTCAGGTCGAAATGGCTTGGCGGTGGTCCAGATTGAGGTCGCTCGATTTGATTTGAATCCTCAGCTGTGAGAACCCGCTGTTGAGCTTTCTCCATAGCTTGTTTTTTACTCTGCAGATTGCTGTTTGCTTTCTGTAGTCCGTGCAAAGAGAAAGTGATTGGTTTTCTACCCACTCGCTTCTGTTCAAAGCTTACAGTCGATTGGCGTCTGTCTAAAGCTGGCGCTGGTTCGGATTTTACGCTTTTCACGTCGGATCCGTTGTTGTTTGGCTGTTGTTTAGAAGACTTTAACAACGCATCGTATACATCTTTCAAAGACAGCGGACGTGGCTTAAGTTGTGCGGAGGCTCCTTCCTCTGTTTGAACCGAATCGGAACTTGATAGATTCAACGATGTGCTCCGTAGCACTTCGCGTTGCTTCAAAAGTTTATTACGATCATCTTGAGCTCCTTTCACCCAATTTTTCTTTTCCATCTCCAGCGCAAGCCTGACTTTTGCCAGTTGTGCGAGGCGCGGTTGTTTTTCTGCCGCAAATCATGGTTTGCTCCTCTAGCTTTCACTGCAGGCTCCACTTGTAAGCTCTCTCGGGGCGCGCTAGCCATAACTTGTCAAGAACAGAACGAATGCAAACGTCTGTATTTACGTCTGGATTCTACTCGACACTCAGGATCGACTTAATAAGTCTTTGTGCAAATAAACCTGTTGATTGCTTATATTACCCTTTCCACCGATCTCTACGATAGATTGTTGTTGCGTTAGTCCGTCGTTTCTATCAAAACACGTCGCCAAGCTTCGTGGGGGAGAAACTTGTTAACTCAAGTGGCTCACTTTTTGTTCTACTTCTTTCTTGCGTGCATTTTTCACAAAGCCCGACTATACAATGACCTTATAGAGCTAAATTAATTACGTTAAATCGTTTCACACCTTACGTAAAGGTTGCTTTGTTATCCGTGCATGTAAATAAGGTGCTTTGTTGAAAGCCACTGATCTCGTCAAAACAAAAGGGCAATAAAGGCTTTCTCTTCCTTTTATTTCATTCCGTCAAATGACAGTTTCGAAACATGACGCTACTTTTTAAATTTTTCTCCTCTCCAATAAGTTAATTACCAGCTTCGTTGTCAGTTGTAATCCTTTTAATGACGAATTTGATTAAAATTGTTAATTAACGATTGTCTGTTAAGTCGTCCGTAGCAAAAAAGCTTAAAGAGAGCGAAACTTTCTCGGAATACTTCTGTTCTAAGAACTGTGACGTAGCCTAGTTCTTGGCCGGGTCCAGGCTGCCTTCTTCCGAAGAGTGAGGTAACGGCCTGGGAGCTAGCCGGCAAACCACGTCTTTTAGAGTCCTTTCTCTTACGTCATTGAGTCAGGAAGAGAGAGGACCCAAAGAGTGAGGTTGCAGCTGCCACCTTTTTATGTTCCTTCCTTATTTTTACATCATCCGTGGTCCATAACTAAACAACCTCGCAGCAAAATGAAATGCCATGCACTTCATGGCTTTGTAAGACATTACATGGGAATTACGTTTGTTTCACTGCACTTTGTGATTTGTGTCTAGTGCATTCAGAAATGTAAGAGTGTGATACTCTTGGTAATTTTGCCATTCCTTTTCATATTGCCATGCTCCCTAAAATTTTAAATTTGACGTTAAAGCTTGCACTCAACTTATCTTCATCCCAAATCATATCACGAAACACAAATAGCCATCGATCTTCAGACTTCGTATCCCAAAAAAGAGCTAACTATTTCCTTGTGATGTTTTTAAGAGTATGCCATTTATACATTTATCCTAAAAAAGAGCTGATCTTAATATTAAGATAATATATCAGAGAAAGAGAACGAAGACATTATGTCAATAAGAAAGAAAATCGAAATAAAAGCTTGCCAGTAAGATATCTTTACTTCAACTCGAACCGATCTTAAACTAAACTTTTTCTCTGGTGACGTTTGATGCCGAGAGAAAAAACAATTGTAATATGCGTATTTCATAGTTACTGAGTGTCAGATGGCTTAATTTATTCTACTTGGGTTAAATTAAAATGTCACCTGAATTAAAATTGATCACGCTAAAAGACCCCACAAAAACGCCGAAATTACCACTACCATAAGTACGAGTGCCTCAATGACGCAAATTGAAGGTTCTTTCCTGTATTCTGTGCGCCTTATCCTGCATTTATAATGTTAAAATACTTGAAAAAAAAACTATTAGGCATACTTTATAACGTTTACGTGATATTTCATTTTAATCGATTCTCAGCATCGCACAGTTAGAAAACATTGACGCCAACGGTGCTAAAAAGATTGAGGATAGGCGCCAGATATGTCACGACAGCCAAAAACCTATCTTACTAACATAGACTATTAATAATTTAACAGCGATGATCCCAAATAAATTAAAAAAAAACCCACAATGACAGAAACTCCACGGAAAAATTCTAAACATTGTACAGTATTCAACAGTCAGCTCAAAGACAAATTCTAAAATGTAAATCTACCCAAGAGAGTTTCGTTGACTAACCAAACTCCTCATTTATAATGATTAAAACTGCAAGTTTTGAAAGTGCCTGTGTTGTTGCTTTCTCTCTTTTTTCCCTTTACTTTATTTGTCTCATCTCAAGAGTTACATCCTCTTTAACTGTTTTGATACGATTTTCAACTTGAATACCTCTGCGGTAAGACCAGAACTTGAAGGCCGCCAAGATGCGCAAGTACTCTACTCGAAAGGAACGATTCATGACGCCATAAATGATTGGGTTGAGAGAGGCGCTCGTGAAGGCGAAACAAGTGTAACTCACGTACACTTGTCGTTTAAGTTTCCAATCTGAATTAAGAAAGTCGATCAAGTCGATTACTACAACAGGCGTCCAGCAAACTAGAAAACCTGTCACGACGACTAGAAGAGTGTAAGTCACGTTAACTTCGTCCACTGATAGGCACCGGTTTGTCGATGGCTCAGATCTGCAACTACTTCGAAGCCGAAAGATGAAATTCAAATTGTGTTTCCGCACCTTCATGAACACCCTGGTATAGCACGCTATGATTAAAATTAATGGAACGGCTACGTACACGAGGACCAAGAAGGCTCCGTAGCCTTTAAGCAGGCTTTCTGAGTTGTGTGCGCACATAGCCTTTGCAGGATGGAAAGAAAATTCGTGTCCGGCAACGACGTAAGGAAGGGGTGCGAGGAAAGCGATGATCCACAGAATCGCAATTGTTGCTCTGATTTTCTTTGCGTTGAAAATTTTTTGATAGAGCGCACGAGAATGCACAACTCGAAAATACCTGTTTACAGCAGTAACGGCGAGAGTTTCGAGGGAAATTGCACTCATAAGGAGAACCCAAAAACCCTGAAGCTGACAGAGAAAATTATTGAACGGCCATCGCCCAACAATGAGAGTGGCTACTGAAAATGGAATTCCCAACAAAGAGATAAGAAAGTCGGAGAACGCCAGAGTTATGATGTACAAATTGGTAACAGATCTCCCAAGAGATGGATTTTTTATGGCGGCGATTCCAAGCAGAAGATTGCCGGCAAAAGACGTTAGATTGATAAGAAGCATCATAAAAGATTCTACGAATCGGATTGCCGATGTTCGACTTTGTAATTGTCGGGAGAACAATTCTGTAGTTGTAAGCGTCGCATTCATTGCGTCCTTTCAACTTTCTTTTCTCTGTGGTAGTGTGCGTATGAGAGTATGCCAGTTTATCCACTGATCACAGAAGTCAAAATAATCCAAATCCAGCGAGAAATTACATTTGGGGATGAATTGTAAAGCCATAAAAATTGCCATCCATTAAACTGTCAACTCCGCATTATAACGAGCACCTGTTTAACTCTTTTATTATCAGGGGTGACCAATAAGTAATTTCTGCTTGCAATGTTGAGGGCAGAAGGATGAAAACATCAGCAGGAGATTTTGTTAAACCCCAAATTTGATGCTACGATAAATTAGACGGATACAAACTTGTTGAAATGAATGACTAAGTCCCTTACTAACCCAGACCGAGAATTCTATGAGAGCACTTGGAATACTGCGATCCTCAAACATCAGGCCCCGATTGTTCGAAGGTTGGATAACGCTATCCACTGGATAAAACTCTATCCGGTCGATAACGCTATACGTTTTGCTATCCGGATAGCGATTTATCTGTTGGATAGCGTTATCCGCATTTCATACAACTGGGCCCAGCAGGAGATTTTGTTTACCCCAAATAACAAGAGCTCTTTGATTCTAGGAAATGTATAGCCTTAACCCAGTAATAAAACAAGTATTTAGCTCTTTCTACATAGGTGTTTCGCTTCTTTTCAAGGATCGCGGTCAACTTTTCTTTTAACGATTTTTCACTCATAGCCTATAAAGTAAAGGTGCCATACTGGAAACAGGAATTCAACCTAAGCTTAGTGGACGCTTTAAATTAAAACTCTACATACAGTGAGACGCGGGGTTTTGGCAGATTTTTATGTCGCTATCACTTGATTATTAGCAACGAGAATAAAACAAAAAATATTGAAAAGTCATCAAGATATCTACTGGTTTACAAACTGGGCCCACTTAATTTGGAGCCAACCACGCAACTACAAATTTCTTTCGGTATAACTGACAATGTTAGTAGAGAGCAATTGACACAAAGTTTTCAAAAAGCATTTCAAGATAAAAATTAGTTATTTAAGTCTTGATTGACGGCACAACAACTAAGTGTTATCATTTTCAGTTCAAATGATAGTTGAAATCGCTGGAAAAGGAAGAAAAAAATTGTCATTTTAATCCGGTCAGCCAAATGGCCCGTGAATGTAGATGGAAATGCAAAGCTGACTCGAACATTTTACTCACTGGCCAATTCAGTTAAGAAGCGACTAAACGTCGCCAAACATCAGTTAAAACTGATGCCTTAGCTTTGTTACATCAAAAAAGTGCAAATCAATCTTTTTTATGCTTTCCTGTTGATATTCTAAGAAAATTCTCATTAATTAGACTTAAATACCAATATGATAACATACTTTTTTTTTCGCACGAAGCTGGTTACCTTACTTCGATAAAGCGCTTTTCGATTGAGTGTTGCAAAATCAATCTGCACACGATGTCGAACTTCAACAGAAAATATATTACAAGGAGCTCATGAGATCTAGAAAGGCACGTGACGTGACCTTATCTGCATGGTTTAATTTCGTACCTGATTGGTCGAGGGAGCGGTGTGAGTATTTAAGACCAATCACAGAGCTTAATGAACTTGGCAGAAACAAAGTATAATCAAGGTTATCCTATACGCAACAACATAGAAACCAATATCAAAAATATACGCTCCCATTTACAGTCTTTACTTTTACTTTGAATTATATTTACATTACAAAACTGTTCCTACTTTGCAAAATTGAGTAATCGTGTGTGTCAGTTATCTGTTTTGTACGGCAGTCCGTGCACTCTAAATCTGTACAGGCAGGTAAAGGCAGGATTCCCATAGTTGGAAAGCACTTTGAGCTCAATATATCGAAATTCTGGTACGGTGGTTGCCTAAACCCAAAAGCGAAAAAAAACATCACTCAAGTACTTAGTAACAGCTGTAACGATCATCGGTGGGATCAACTTGGAAGCACTATTTTATCCTCACCTGTACAGGAAAATTTTGAAGAGCGTGTCCTCTATCATTATACAAATACTCGCCCAATAGTACCTTTTCACTACCACGGGCATCAGCCCAGCCCTGTGGAAAGGCAAATGAACGCGGTTATGAGTTTATGAAGAAACTGTTGGGAAGCGGTGATGGACAAGTGAAACAAAAAGTTGCCGCCGTAGCGAATGTTCGAAGAGCTGACTGTTTGAGGAAGAGCTCACTCTCCAAACGTCAGCCGTGGAAAATTTGCTGCGGTGGGCTAAGGTGCCTTTAACAGTTTATTGTTGATAACCAACCAAACTAATTGAGAATTCGTGTCAGTCTGTACTGATCATACTCAAAAAAGCTTTGCAAACATCACCGCAGCATAGTTTAAGGACCCGGAAAGTGCAATCGAGGGATTGACGTAGATTAGGTTTTGTCGATGTTAGCACGCTTTTCGACTGAGTATCCTTAAAGGAATATCAAAGTAATCATAACCGCCAATCAGAAGATAGCAAAATACCGTAAAGAGCCAACGAAAACTCATCGTAAAACAAAACCGACAAACGCGCGGGAAAACGCGGACGACCAGGTCGTGGTTGGGCTTAGTATGGCATTTGATTGGTTGAGAGGGTAGAGCGCGTTTCCAGACCATCTTACACATGACAAGTCGCACCGAAAATTCGCTTCGTGTGGGATAAATAATTTCTGTGAAAATCTGTGACACTGCGAATTGAAACAAGCTTTGCTTAAGTGATTGTGTTCCTTACTCACCCAGACAGAGAATTCTTTAGGCGCACTTGGAATACTGTGATCTTCAAACTGGGACAAAGTTGTGGCCATGTGTTCCAATGTGAAAGAAGTGGGTTTGATCAAACGGGAAAGCTGGTAAAAAAAAAACAATATAAAGTATTATTTCATCGACTACAAGTAATTTTTTTGTTCTCTATCAGTTATTTATTTGTTCCAACTTTCATATAAATAGTCGGAATGCTGTGTACGTATTGTGAGTAAACGATTGAATTGTAAGTAATGTTTGTTTTTAATTGCCTGAATTGGCCATGGCCTGCGAGCGGGCCCTATTTCGGCACGAGTGTTTCTTCACCCGCGAGAAAGTATTAAGCCTAAAACAAAAAGGGCTAGCACTGAAATTTCAGACCCCCGGCAAACAAATCTCTCCCCAGCTCGTCTCAACTCCTCCCGCAGGCGGAAAAAAGCGCGTCCTACAGTACTAATTAAGAGGGCCTGGTTGCAAGCTAACTTGCAAGACCATCATGCCGTCATTAATTGTACGTAACTGTAGCGTTGATGCAGCATTGTAGTATTGTAAGTAGTTGTAGTATTGTAGTTGTTGCATTGTTTGTGATTGGTTGCATGTTCCACCGAGCTGCAAACAGTGACGTTCACTACAACAAACTAGCAAAAAAAAGAATAACAAATGGAGATGTCAAAATGTATAATTAAACATCGATTGATATCAACCTTGATCACGACAAAACCAGAGCTCCCATGAAAAGCCCAACATTCTCCAGGGGTGCTTCCAGGCTAAAATTAAACGAAGAAAAACAAAGTCAAAACAAATCTTGGAAATGAAATACAAATATTTGTATGCTCGCGCGGTGCAAGCTGACTGACGATGTATTAAGACGTGTACAGCGTGACTGCCAAAACTTGGAGCTTTTGAGCACTTTTTGACAGAGTTTCGTGAAACAAAACCAAATTATCACCACAGCCAATCAGAGCAAGGGAAAATATCACAAGGAATCAATGGGAGGGCTAAGTAAAAATGAACTAGCTGCGAGTGAGCAAGGCATGATTGGTTTTACTTTTGCATCTGATTGGTTGAGAGAATGACGCGAGTTTTCTGGACCAAACATAGGGCGAAGTAAAGCTAACAGAAAATTTAAAATAATTTTCGCGACTCATTTGTAAATTACTCTACTAAGCAACCTGAAATCGTGACTTTACTTAAAAATCATGAGAAATCCATGTAAATGCACGCCAACTCGGAAACACTAAGGCTTCCGGAGAACAGACCATAGAGTACTTCGCTATCTGCTCTGCTACTGACCTGAATGATCACCCTTGGTAGCTTGACTTCATACCACACAGCTATACCAAACACTAACACTTGAGGAATGGCTCCATTAGCAAAGGTAGGAGAATGATTTGAACCGTGTATCTGACCACCTTTCAAGTGATTCCAACCAAATAAAGAACATGATGAATTAGACATAAAGGTTGGTGTTAAATTTCAGCACTAAATCAAGTACCAACCTGCTGATTCCAAGGCATAATCAGGGATACCAATCTTGTCCGCATCCCAACGACGAAGTGCTTCTTCAATTTTATTTTCCACAGGTTCTACTTCCCAGGTTTTTGACTGGAGACAAATATAAACCGAGTGTTTAACCCTAGCTTAATTCACACTGACGAAAATACAAATTCCTTTTAAGTTACTCTGGGCTGAGACAGAAAGGATTAGGAGAATTAACCTCAGAGATCTTTTTCCTCATAAGATTTTGGCTGTATAAGGTCCCTCCACCCAGAAAATACCTTATGCACATATATGGTGCCATCTAATCAAGCTTAATGAAATCAATATAATATTAATAATAATAATAATAATAATAATAATGATGATGATGATGATGATAATGATAATGATAATGATAATGATAATGATAATGATAATGATAATAATAATAATAATAATAATAATAAACAGTACAACACCAGAGTTGGAAGAGGGTTCCCTCAACTGAATCTGCATACGTGATAATATTCTACATACCTGGCCTTTTAGTAAAACTTTCTGGTAAGCATGTTCTCTGTTTGCTGTTAAAGGAACCGCATTTTTCAGTAGTTATAAAATCAAAGGAAGCCAGAGATGACCTCAGAAATGTGGTGACTAAAACCTCTGTCGAATGACATTGATTGTAATATATTTATACATTCACAGAAGTCAAAACCGGTATTGTTTCCAAAAAGTTCTAAGCCTGAAATCTTGAGTTCTCCAATGTCTCTGGTTATATTGAAGTCTGCCACAAGATCTTTCACACCCCACCTCCCCTTCTCGAAAAACAATTACACTTTTCCTTATAATCAAATTGATGCTTAGATCATGTAAGTTTATCACTTTTATAATGGTACATAAGTTGCTACTGATATTGGTGTATTGACACTTTAAAATTTAATTATCAAATTTCAACTCTTATTTTCAAAGCACAGAAATCTTCATAGGTGTTGTCTGTATCCTAACCCAACCTTCCCCTGCCTTTGAAAGGGATATGAGAAATAGATACAGCTGGTTCTGTATCTTCAGCCCTCTCCATTCCTCCCTTGGAAAAGTGCTTTACAGGACAAGTGGAGCTGGTATTTCTTCACACTTACTCCTGTGCTGTAATTACTTACTTTTTATGCTCTGGCGGGATTGTACTTGTTCCAGTTTCCTAATACGATTTTTCAACAGTTTGATTTCTGCTGTATCATCTCCATGGTGTTGCTGTTCAGTAATTAATGATCAAAAGGTAGCGTGTAAAAAGCAATATGAATTGTTTAATAAAAAGTTCTTTTTCATTGTCCTAATCCATCTTATCTCTGTGAGAATTTCAAAAGGTTATAATTTTATTTAGCTATAAATAGCTTGGAGGACAAGTTTCTTTTTTTCTCATTGCCCAAATTAATTTCACCCAACCCTTCAACCCCTATGACTATAAGATAGAATTTAGTTTCTTCCCATAATTTCACCCCTAAATCACATCCTTAAGGTCACAAGGATAAAAGAAATGATCACCAACCAAGGAAGCCCTTCATTGTTAAACAATTCTCCCTGTCAACACCTTAGGAAATATATGGAGAATATGCATTATGAAGTAAGAATGCAGAATGTTGAAAGGAGTTTTTTACATTTTCTTTGCAACATACTGTGAGTTGTTCTTAAGTTGCTGTTGGTAGGGTAAAACAAGAAGAGTCTTAAGTTACCTTTTTGCTTAAGATGGTCTGAGAGTAATCCCATCAAAGCCATCAGAAAAAATGAAGCAGAGGCAAGCAATAACAACTACCAAACATTTCATGAGATGCTGTGTATTTGAATAAATCAATCATCAATTATGATCATCTGAAAATTTTTCAATGCAACTGAAGTACTACTTAAGATCTATCCTCAGTCCAGGAGGATCAATCCCTATTCAACATAATTTCTTGCAACAAGTAGGGCAGCATGGCCGAATGGTTAGAGAAACAAAATTTTTCCTGGGTTAAGTCTGAGAGAACTTATAAATTAATTTTTTTTACCTTAGATGTTGGTTTAGCTTGAACACTCTCACTTTCATCTTTGCCCCCTGACAAAATTTTTGTTGGATTGTCTAAGCCTGAAAAGTAAAATTCATGTGATTTCCTCATGTAGCAATGGTGGACTTTTCATAATATAAAATTCATTAAGTTTGTGCTCAGTCAGCATTTTGTTAGGCTCCCTAGGCAATTCCCCACTACAACATTACACTCCTTGGTGAAGAGAGGCACTGATGTTCTGCCACCCAATGGAATAATCAGGACCTGATTAAGGGATGGGCCCAAATCATGGGCCTGATCCTTCCAGTCCACTGATAGCTGGGTCACAGCATCTACCACACATTGGGGTGGGGGGAATGAAACCTCAAAGAGATACCCTGTCCAAAAGAGATTCCTTTTATAGGATCGTGGTCTTTAAAAGGGATGGGGTGGCACATGTTGAGGTATAGATTTACATAATCATAAACTGGGATGGTTTGTTCTAAAGAAAATTGGGTGAGAGGCAAATTACTCAAACCAAACCCCCCTTTTGTCTTTACTCTGCAAAATTTTTTGTGGACACTGTCATTCGATGAAAGTAGTAAACTCCCGGTTTTACAAAAGGGCATTCTCCAGAAAAGGAAAAGTCTTCCATCTTAGCGTAGAACCCCCTGTATACTTGCAGACAACTTTATCGAGTACCGGTACAACCCTTCCTCTTAGACAACTCCACCTATTGGTAATTAATGCAATTAATAATAAAAGCAGCTGTAGCTGTTCTTACCGTACAAGTGTTCTGGTCTATCGTCAAACGTTGAGGTGTTGTTGGCGATATTATGATTTTTATCAGAATGGACTAACGGCTCACTGTGATCCACCTCATCATCGCTGAACAATGTATCTTTCTGTTGACTTGTACTTGACCGCTTGACTACCCGAGTAGAACCTGATTGTTTCTCTATTTCTTCCGAAACCCTTTTGTCAACTGCACCAGGAGTGCTTGTCAAAACTCGACCTCTTGTGCTGCGTCTCTTAGGAGTATCATCTGTTAATAGAAAAGAAAGTCACAGGTTTTCAATAATGCATCATCACAAATTTTAATTTCGCAGAGTGCAAAAATTCAAAGCTACTTTTTAACCAAACTTAAACACAAAAATAGTTCAAAGTTTGAACTACCGAAACAAACAAGCTGAACAGGATTGGACAGATATACAAAGAAGCAAAATTGAAAAACTAACAAACGTTATTTCTGTTAGGTAAAGCTTAACAATTCGTTTTGAAGTAACGCCTAGGATTTTCATCGACTGATAATGATCGCGATAACTTAAGTCTTAATCAAAAAATTGCAACGAAAAATCGCTATACAAAGCATGTCAGGAAGCTTGATACATATTGGTACAACTTGTAATGTGTACATTGCTTTCAATTTCGCAGTGATATGAAACTCAAAAGTAACAGTCAAGAGTGAAATCCTCGGTAAATCTTACCTAATGATAAAAGATTGGAACTGCGATCTGAACGCGATTTTTGACGTGCAGTCATATCTGTCGAAGTTTGAAGACTGTTTTAAAAGTGAATTCCTTTCAAAATCAAATGCTAATCAAATCTATGTGTATTTTCCCTTTTTGAAAGTAACGACAGATACACTTCGTGAGTTTATTCAACGCGCCAAACGTAAACCTCGTTTCCAAGTTAAAAAGTTTTCCCACGGGTGGGGCAGGTATGCACGGTGAAGTTGGGGCACGTGGAAGTCCAGGTTATACGTGCTGAAGTAAATACAATTTCACGTAATTAGTCGCATTTTCTTACGTCATTCCCACATAATTTTAAATATCATCCAAATTATCTCATAAAATCTGCAATATGTAAGTATCAGATTTCTAAGGACGATTTGAATGTAGCATAAAATGATTACCTCAAGTCGGACTGTTAGTTTTGGATTCCAAGGATGCAGTATCTTATCCAGAATTTTTCAGTCTTTTGTGAAGTTGTATGAAGGAGAAAAACTCCGGATCATTCAGGGTAATTCCCAATCGCTCTGACGAAGGGCTAAAGCTCGAAACGTCATCTTTTGAACTCTTTACGGTGGCCAATTTACATCATCAACTTCGTTGATAATACTAAATTACCTTGTTATGCTCTCCCACCGACGCAGCACAAGGTTTCTTTTTAGACTTAACCCCTTTATTTCTTGACGTAAAAAAAAAATATGCATACTATATATTCCTAATGAAAAGCTGGAAGAGATCTATAGGTATAAGAAATTGTACCCTTCGCTCATTATCTTCTTGAAAATTCTCATTGTTTCCATAATGGTATTTGAAGTGGAGGTTTCTATTTCGTCTGAAATCACACGTGTAATTTTACAGTCGAACGACGGGTTTCAGTTAGAAAAATTGTTTGTCGCATGAGAGCAGCTGCGTTAGTTTAATATTAGTTAAAATATCACCTACACAAGGGGAAATTGAAATATGATTTAACCTCCCCGTGCTTAAAAAAATAGAGAGACATTCAATCTAAGTGGGAGGATGAGTGGGAGGGAATTGAAGGAGAAAAAATAGATCAGAGCACGAAGGAGAAAACTTTTTATTAGAATATGTCTGTAAGAGATGCCCACACATTTGACGTTCACCTGCAACCTCATCTGAGCTGGTATACTTTTTAAAGGGGGGGAGAGGAATATCGCGCGATAAGGGATTAAGAGTTCTTAATTTTCGTGAACAGCGGAAATACGAAATTAAAACCCCATGAACTGTACTTTTATGTTGCCTTTCGCGATATGTGAACCTCAAAGCCGTTTATCCGATTTTTCGTGATGCCTTATTGTTACTTTTTAATGTGCGTGAAACGTGTGCAGGAACCAGGAACCCCCCCTCCCCTCCACCCTTTTTAAAAAGCCATTTCAGGCAGTTCAACAAAGCATCATCTCCTTTTTGTTTATAATGAGAGGAAATATAGCCATCATTTTTAAATTGGAACTTTTAAATTCATCTTTTGGTCTGTGGAAGGAACTTTAGCATGACTCCACGATTCACAAAATTTTAAAATTCTTTTTACTGCTTTATGAATACAAAATTATCTTTTATAGATTCCACAAATAAATAATCGATGATCAAACAAGTCTTAAACAAAGAAAGTTATACTTTTTTTCCCTCGCCAGTGAAAGAAACTTTTGAGAGAAAGCTCGGATAATTAATTTTTTTTTCTTTCTTTCAGCCAACTGGCTATTAGCATTTAGAGGAAGACCAAGTTTTTAGTAGACCAAACTTTTTTGACCAAAAACCGATCAAAATGGCCTAGCACTGTCAATTTATGGATAGTTTTAATAACTTTAGACGCTTCGTTTTGACAGTGTAGGAGAAAATTGGACCCGACGAAGAAATCACCGAGAATTTAAACTTATTTTCCATTGCAGCTGTACACCAATTCAAAGGCCATGCTTTACATTTTTTGCGTGGGCGTTCTGAAAATTGTGCTTCTTTGTCGGAACCCTTCGGAAATCATCGGAAGCCCTCGTAAGCAAAGTTTTCTTTTCAAAACGCTTTTTCTGTGCTGGGAATTTACAGATTTAGATCAAGGAAGCCAGGTGAATTTGTCCAAATTAACAGAAGCTAAATTTAGCAAGCTATTTTTAGCACAGCTGCCGACCAATCAATACGATTTACCGAATTATTATCTTTCGGCGAATTCATGTTCATAACATGATGAGTACAAGATGGCTACTCCAAGTAACAACTGGGTGAAGTTAAATGTCGGTGGAACGTACTTCTTAACGACAAAACAAACGCTTTGTAGACACCCTAACTCCTTTTTACATAGACTTTGTGCAGAAGATCCTGATTTACCCTCGGACAAGGTAAGAATACGCATTTCAGTCAAAATTTGTGAAATGTTCTACCCAGCTAAACAAGTAGGCATTTTGACATTTCAGGACGACAGCGGTGCTTATATGATAGATCGAGATCCTCGCTATTTTGGACCTGTTTTAAACTATCTACGACATGGCAAACTTATAATCGATAAAGACCTCCTTGAAGAAGGTGAGAGCATTGAAAGTTAACGTATTTTAGATTCTTGGTTCGAAGTTCACTTCGCTTTTGGCATTTTGCTAAGTAAACATTTGGCTTGAAGCGTATGGGCTTGGACGTTCTCTTGGTAAATGCCTTATTAATGTGTGCTCTAGTTTCAAAAAGTCTTCATTTGAGCCGTGGAAAGAACATGCTACTTCTAAATTAATTT